AAAAATAACATTTAACAATCATAAGTTCAACCAATCTTTAAAAATGTTTTTGTAATTTTTCCTTTGTTAAACCTTCCTTATCAGAACCCTCCGCCAAATAACTTTTGCTAAGGGGAACGGTGAGCGAGATTGGGTGCCGAACATTGCAATCGTCATTACAGACGGTCGATCCAACGTTGATGTCAAACAAACTATTCCTGAAGCACAAAGCTTGAAGGATAACAACGTTACCATTTACACCATAGGTGTCACTAACGATGTCTTTCCAGACGAACTAAAAACAATTGCATCCAGTCCAAGCAACTTCATTCCGACCCTGGATTTCAATACCTTGGGACAGTTGCCGTTTTTGGATGACGTCGTTAGAGCAACTTGTAGATCGAACACTGCACCGACTAGTAAGAACGTGTCGATGATGATGTTGGGATGAATAATTATATTATTCGTAAATATGATAAACAAATTTCCAACTCATCATTTTATCCTTAGAACTTAGTTTCCATTATTATGTTGTTATGAATTCTTTAAATCAGATTGCTCTAGTCCTGTTGACATCACGTTCATTCTTGACCAGTCCAGCAGAATCGTTGCAAGTGGAGACCAAGATTTTTGGTACCGAGATTTGCTGGGATTTGTTTCCAGTGTAATAAAAAACTTCAATGTTTCGCCTGACGGAACCCGTGTTGCCGTCGTCAAATTCAGCAACAATGCCAACGTTCCCATCTTACTGAACAGTTACACAAACATTTCCACTCTTCTGCCCGTTATTAGGTTCTTTGCTTGATAATTAAAGTGAATTTATTTTAAACACTCAAGCCTTGATATAAATTATCAAAAGTATTTTTGCCCCTAAATTTTTGAATAGTGTTTCCTAATTTTAAATTTTTTAACAGAAATCAAACAATTGAGGGAGGTCAAACCAATATAGCTTCTGGCCTGAGAGCGACTCGAACCGACGTCTACAACACCGGCAGAGGGTACCGACCCAACGTAACGAACGTTGCCTTCCTCATCACCGATGGAGAATCCAACATTGAGGTGGAACAAACGATTCCAGAGGCAATCAATTTGAAGAATCTCGGGGTGGAGTTGTTTGTGATGGCGGTCGGTACAGCAGTCAATATGAATGAACTCTCAAAAATAGCTTCCCAACCTCTGCCTGATCATCTCTTCAACGCCGCGCAATATCCTAGTCTGGATAATTTTTGGAAGAATGTTGCTAAAAATATTTGTAACGCCAAAGGAGAGCCAAAAGTGACCACTACGGCTGCCCCATCTACAACCACTGCAAGACCTGTTGGACGTCAGTGTTTTGTAGTTTTTTGTTATATACATGAATAACTTTTTTATATAATTTTAATTGTTTTTTAATTTATTTCTTATACCGTCATCTTTTTTTAACAACAATTTCAACTAGCAGCAGCAGAGTTCATATAAACTATGAAACCTGTTTGAAAAAAGTGATGACATCAGAATTTAATAATTTTTTTAAACTTCATAAATAATACACAAAAGATAAATTTTTAGTTTTCACGAGTAAATAATTTCAAACTTGACACACCAAACACATCTGCAGCATGCCTCGTAACCAACTGTTTGCAATGTCAGACGGGAACCAACAACGTTTGTTCGTATTGTGCTGCGAATTACGTCAACGTTAACGGGCTGTGCGTTGGTTAGTTTGGCAGATCAGGGGTCGGTGGATACTTAAGCAGATACAATTATTTTAAAATATGCTGGATGGTTGATGAATGAAGTGTAGTGATGGATGAATGAAATGATAAATCGATGAATTGCAAATTTTGATCCATGAGTACCAGCACACATTTATTGGCAAGATAAACTTTTATTGCCAAAATCTCTTTATTCAAACGACAAAACAGTTCTAAATAATGGGCACGTATTTGCGAGCCAAGCAACGTATTTGTTGCAGAACCGTGCACGAAGCAACCGTAAAAATTTCAATTTAAATAATGTCAATCTCAAAAGTGAGACGCAACAAATTTTGATAACTTCCCAAAAATATACATAGAAATTAATGATTAATGAGAGATTTTGAATTATTTTTCTAGAAAACATGGATTGATTTGCCTTCTAAAATATCAATAAATTTTATATTCAAATACAAATCTGAACGTCAATTTGAAATAATTGACCACCAGTTCAATGCAACGTTGCAAATTGTTTGACGTGTAACGCACCGAACGTGTGTTCAGTTTGCAACAATGGATACACTTTGAATGATGCTAACAACAGATGCGAAGGTTGAAATTTTTACTTATTGATTTGAAATTATTAACGTGTTTTGTTTAAAATTTGAAATAAATATTAAAATAATGAGCAATAATAAATTTCAATGTTCATAGCGCAGTGCATCGTTCCAAACTGTCAATCCTGTCAATCACCTAACAGGTGTTCTCGGTGTAACAGTGGCTACAACTTGGATAACAACGGAAACTGTGTTGGTGAGTAGAAAAACAAAAATTTTAAAATTAGTATAAAATATTTTGACCTAGTTTGTGCAATTTTGCCTGATGTTCTAGTGAAGTGACATGCAAAAAATTGTGTCACTTTGAAATTCACGAGAAAAATGTTTTTTTTTAATTTTTTAAATTACTTTTTTGTTTTTATTTCAGCTCAGTGCAATGTCCCAAACTGTCAACAATGTCAGGCACCCAACAGATGTTCACAATGTAACAGTGGTTACAGCTTGGATAGCAATGGGAACTGCGTTCGTTAGTACTGAAAAAAAACTATCACTATTTGGACCAATTTTTTCATCTTTTGTTTTTTCTCATGTGACGTTTCATTAGGACATCATTTTTAGTTTTTTGTGGGGTACTCCGCTTAATTGAGTATTGTTCTTTTGAAAGACTCCTTTACGTAGCAATTAAATGTTGATTGTTTATAATAAAATCAATAAGTATAATGTTCGTTCATGTTTTTGAAAGCATGCTTACTTCGGTACCTCCTGCGAATTCATACAAGATTTCAATTAAAATAAATTTCAAAAGAAAGGAATCATTTGAAACAAATAAATATGAAAGCAACTTACTTTAATGTGTCATACAAAATTTATGGCGTTATCCAGATTGACTCGATATTTACTTAAAAAAATTGTCAGAAGCGTACTAACTATTTAATGCCTTCAAATATGGTTGTACTTCAACTTATTCCAAACTATTCAATTTTTTTTTCAATTTTTTGTATATTTTTTCGAATTTCAGCCCAGTGTATTGTTCCAAACTGTCAGCAATGTCAAACCCCCAACAAATGTAGCCAATGCAATGGCGGATACAACTTGGACAGCAATGGAAACTGCGTCTGTGAGTACAGAATAATTAATTTCTACTAAATTTTTTAATGCAGTACTGAATACAGATAAAAAATTTAAATTTCATCTGCTGATTTATCTGAAGTAACAAATTATTAACGATTTTTTCCAGCTTCAGTAAGAGGCGGATTTAAACAACTTTGACGGGGGCGGGCGAAATTTTGAAAATGTTCAAATTTTTTAATTTTTCAATAATTTTGGCGGGGTGGTCAAGATTTGTGGTATTGAATTTTACTGACTGTTACAAATTTAATTTAATTGTTAAATTTATAATTACTGCTCTCAACGGGGAAACCATGGCCTCCCTTGGCCCCCATAGATTTGCCACAGACTTCAGTTATTAAATTTAAAAAAGCTTTTTGTTCTATTTTCATTTAAGAAAAAGTTTCAAAAATTTCATGATTTAGTGAAAAGTTACAATTGGAAAACTTTCTCATAAAAATTTTTGTAAACAATTAAGTGAATTTCACACAATTTAATTATTGAAACATTGTGCAACATAATATTACAACGATATATCGATGTAAAAAGTTAGCTATTTTTTTTTGAAAATTTGGCTTTCTTTTATGATTAATTTATTTAAAATATTTTTTAAATAAGAAAAATGTTGTCTTTTGTAATTTCTTTAAATTAGTGCTAATTTATTTTCGTTACCTTATGCATTATGGAAAATGTTGGCGAAGAAATTGAATATGACATTTATTTTGCTTGATTTTGACAACTTAATATAATATTTCTATAAATTTCAGCTCAGTGCAACATTCCAAATTGTCAGCAATGTCAGTCACCTGACAGATGTTCCCAATGCAGAAGTGGTTACAGCTTAGATGCTAACGGAAACTGTGTTGGTTAGTATACAATTCTTATCGCTCCGGGATGCAGTGAGAGAAATTAGTAAGTTATAAGACAGTAAAAATAATCTGAAGTTTCAAATTGGTACCAGACAATATGCGTTGTTTTTTCGCAAACCAGAACAAACTATTTAAAGACACTTTAATATGAAGTTTGCTCATACAAACATGCAAATGTGTGCTTGCAATTTCTGCATGTCTGTTATGTCATTTGTAAAATCGACTTTTTTGACTAAAAAAGAACTGAATTTCGGTTATTAATTAAGTCTAAGCATCTCAAGAATTAAAAAATTTGCCCGAAAAAGCGAAACGTTATGTAAGGTCTAAGTAAATTTAATTTGTAACTTTAATGGATGTAGATAATATAATTATTGATAAAATGTTTTATTCATTTTATGAATTTTTTTTTCAGTCCAGTGCAACGTTGCCAATTGTTTCTTGTGTAACACACCCAACGTATGTGCAGTCTGCAACACTGGATTCACTTTAAATATCCAGAACAATCGATGCGACGGTTACCAAAACTTTCTTGATGTTTTGATTGCACTTATTTACAATATAAACAAAAAACATCGCAAGTTGTCAATAGTTACTTTCAATGCAAACAGCACAGTGCAACGTTCCAAATTGTCAAACCTGTCAGACACCCAACAGATGTTCTCAATGTAACAGTGGTTACATTTTGGATAACAGTGGAAACTGCGTTCGTAAGTACACAAGTTAAATATTTTGTGCGGTTTTGTTAGCAGCTTACAAATGTTTTTAAAAATTAAGTTAAAAATGATTACAAGTATTTTTTCTAAAACTTCTTTCATAGCAAATAACGTTTTTCTTTCAATTTTATTATGCTCACATCCTAAAATTTCAGCTCAATGCAACGTTCCAAACTGTCAGCAATGTCAGTCACCTGACCGATGCTCCCAGTGTAGAAGTGGTTACAGCTTGGATGCCAATGGAAATTGTGTTGGTCAGTGGAAAAATGTATATATTCATATTGCAGTAATTAATTAAACATTAAACTATTAATATTATGTCTTTTCAAAACTTTAAAATTCAAAGTTTGAAACTGCCATTTTATATAAACATTACGAGTGCTTCTTTCATTTCAATTATTTCGTTTTGCAATTTTCGTATATGATTTTTTTACCCCTAATTTTTTCAATTAGAACATTTTTCACTCATGGCGCATTTGTTTTCTAAGAAGAAAATATTCAATTAGTAAAATAAGAATTTCGAAAATTTTGGAGATAAAACGTGATATAATCTTAATAATTTGGAAGTTTTCAAAGTATTTAGTCATAGTAACAAGTTCAAAATTATAGAAAATTTTTACCTCTAAAAAAAAGTCCAGTGCAACGTTGCCAATTGTTTCGCGTGTAACCCACCGAACGTGTGTGCAGTCTGCAACAGCGGGTATACTTTGAATGCCGCCAACAACAGATGCGACAGTAGGAGACTTTTGTTACCTAATTTAATTAATTATAGTTTTAACTTTTTCAGTGCCACACAATACATATTACCATAATTAATTTTTTTTCTACTACTTTAGTTCAGTGCAACGTTCCAAATTGTCAAAACTGTCAGACACCCAACAGATGTTCTCAGTGTAACAGTGGCTACAACTTGGATAGCAATGGAAACTGCATTAGTGAGTTCAAACATTTTATTTAAATTAGGCTTTTCTAAATTTCCAAAAAAATTCTCAATGGTGCTATTCAATTTTTTGCGTCTTTGTTTATAGTGAAAATTTGAAAACAGCTGGATATCTTTGTTAATAATCGAAAATAGTGTTAAAAGTTTTGCCCAGCTTTGTTCCTTCATTATCTAAACAAAATTAAAACTCTATTATTTTCTTATTGATACTTAAATTTCAGTTATAACGTTTGCCTATTTTAATCATTTTTTGGATCTGATAAATTTTTATTTTTCCGTCTCTGATTTTGAAAAAGAGATAAAAGTTAATCTTTTAGATTATGTTTGTTACATTATTTAAAATTTTAGATGAAACTTTCTGCTTATTATGCTAACCATAATTAAATGTTTAAGTTCGATTTAATTTTTCGGTTTTGTCTAAAATTTTTGAAAGATATGATAAAGACCAACTTTTTTAGTTTTTTTTTCCAAAAATTGCTTTATAGTCGAAATACAACAGCTCGTGTTTGTCATTGATTTTAAATAACTAGCACAATAACGCTTTCAGCTCAATGCAACGTCCCAAATTGTCAGCAATGTCAGTCGCCTGACAGATGCTCCCAATGCAGAAGTGGTTACAGCTTGGATGTTAATGGAAATTGCGTCGGTGAGTAAAAATTTCTGTAATTTAAGTTACTTCAATCTAAAATGAGAAACCAAACTTGTACAATTTTACAAATCTTAAGATTTAACGTTAAAAACTGCTGCTTCAAGATTAAATATTGCGATCGATAATTAGCACAGAAGCTCAGGTTAAAAAATTATTTATACAAAATCTACAAAAACCTTATAACATGTTTAATTATATTATATAGACTGAGGTGTATTAAAATAAAAATTTAGTTACTAAAATTTTAGCGAGAGTTTAATTTAGGAAGAACATTTTTTTAGAAACAACCTGTTTCGCCAAACTGTCAACATCTATAACGTATTCGGAGTAAAAAAGATGCAGTGATTGATCTTGCTTGTTAATATCATTCCTCAGTAAATTTTTCAATGCCATATATTTTTATCGAAATTTCCACGACAGATTAAAAATCTGTATACTTTTTTAATTAAAATATCCTTCAGTTCAGTGTAACATAGCCAACTGCCTATCTTGCAACACACCCAACGTGTGTGCAGTTTGCAATACAGGGTTCACTTTGAATGTCGTCAACAACAGATGCGATGGTTATATTCTTGTTACTCATTTGAATTGATTAACAAAATTTTTGTATTTTCAGTTTCAATGAACAGAAGTATATCATTTCACAAAAGTGATTCTATTGATTTTTTTACCATTTTTAGTGCAGTGCAACGTTCCAAATTGTCAATACTGTCAGTCACCCAACAAGTGCTTTCAATGCAACGGTGGTTACAACTTGGATAACAATGGAAACTGTGTCGGTGAGTATAAAATATTGATGCGCGAAAGTTACGATTTTTTTTTACATTGTCCACACAGTGCTTTGCATCATTTACTTCTTCAAATAAATAAATATATAAATATATAATAGGCTTAAACGTAAGTTATATATGCCCATGTCAAAATAGCATTAAAAGAAAGCAAAAAAATTCAAATAACAAGTCAATTTTATGATCATAGAGAAATTCTTTGTTGGCCATATAAGTCAAATTTCTTCTTGAAGTTGGAAACAGTATCTGATTCAACAACGCATGTCGGTAAATTGTTCCAAATAGAGATCACTCTGTTAGAAAACGAATACTTTTTTGTATTTTTTTGTATTTGTGTGAAACTTTTGAACATGTATTCTTTAGCGATGCCCTCTGGTACGTGGATCCTGGATCCGCATCAAAACACAAAGCTGGTGAGGAATCTCTATCTACCATACCCTTCGCATTGTTGAAAATCATTAATATGTCTTCATGAACTCTTCTAAATCTTAAAGTTGACAAGTCAAGAAACTTAAATCGATCCGAGTAACAAAGGCCTTTGCAATCCCTGACCATCTTAGTTGCCTATAGATTTTTATTTACAGACATTACAAAAATGTTGTGTTTTGAATTTTCACAAAAAGCATTAATCCATTTGAACAGTTAATGAAACATTTTTCTTTTACTACATACTAGACATTTTGAACATTTGGCATTTATTTAAGATCCGTTGTTAATATCTTCAGCGTTACATTTGAGAGCCTCCAAATAACTTTTCATGCATTTATTGGTTTGATACCTTAAAACGAAATATTAACTTTAGGACCAGATGAGTTCTTTAATTTATTAAAAGACTCGTTTAGACTGTTTTTAAAATATAAAAAATATCATTGCAATAATTATAATAGTTCAAGTAGATTCCTAATATGTTATTTAATTACAAATTCATATTGAGGGCGTAACTTTCACATTCAAATATTCTTACACCAGAAACTTTTTATTTTAATTTTTGCAAATTTATCTGACAAATTGTGTTCCACACATATATAATTACAATTTTTATATATTCTAGTCTTTCAATTTCAGCTCAATGCAACGTTCCAAACTGCCAACAGTGTCAGTCGCCTGATAGGTGCTCCCAATGCAGAAGTGGTTACAACTTGGATTCGAATGGACTCTGCGTCGGTGGGTGATAAATTTTTTTTACGACTTGTAATTTAAGTTACGTAAACTAATTTGGTTTATTGAACTATTTAGTGAACTATTAATATCAAGATTAATTCAAAGTTTAAAGTTGAAATACGGAATTAGCTTATTAGTAAAATGGTTCATCTAACGCTCATAGATTTTGTGAAAATTGATTGAGCTGATATTTTTTAAAAAGGCTTTCAAAACTCAATAGTGTCGTACAAACAAAAATACAAAAGTGTCCAGTGTTGCCAAAACATTCAAATGTTCAGTAATTAGATACTCTGTAGTTACTCAGCAAAAATTTAGTACTTGAATATTATTTATATGAGATTATTTTTAAAATACTAAATACTGCTACTAGTTTTAATATAGAGTCTAAAGTAATTTTGAATTTTTCAATCATCCAGCAATCTTGGCTTAAAACAGTTGACACGGTTAATGAAAAAAATGTACGAGCTCAATAAACTGATATGCATTACAAAATTTTTATTTTTCAATATTTTTTATACACACATAGCAGTAAGTTTTATTGGTAAAAAGAAAATATACATACTTTTGTACGAGTACTGTAATTCAGTTTTGTACGGTGTGATCGAAAGCCAACTGACATCAATTCAATCTGTTCTGAGGTCTGCCGCTAGACTAATTGCTCGGGTCTCTAAATTTGACAGCGTTTCTGATTACTTGAAGGATGTACTTCATTGGCTATCGGTGGAGGACAGAATACGATTTAAAATAGTTCTCAAGGAAAAAAAACTGTCTAACTGGAAAAGCACCGGACTACTTGAAAGAGATGTTAAACTCAGTTTTGAATGTTCCTGAAAGAAATAGACTGAGGTTGGCAAAACACGGAGATCTTGTTTGTCCTCCGTTCAAAACATTTCATTTTGGTTCAAGAAGGTTTTCTTCTGCAGCAGCCAAGACTTAAAATTTATTGCCGCTTGACCTAAAAGTTGATACTAACATCAGTCGTCAGGTGTTCAGAAGCCGGCTGAAATATCATTTTTACAACAAAACGAAGCACAATTAGCGTCTTTGAAGATAATTCAATGGAAGCGCTATACAAAACTACTAGAATTTATTTCATTAAAAATGGTTGTTAACTATTAAAAGGAGTAATGTCTCACACAAATAATTCAACAAATGATTACGCTGTTTAATTAGAATTAGAGGACTTGAACTAACTAATAAGACGCTCAGCTGGGCAACATGTCCTAGGTACCCTCGTGTGTCTCAGGAAATTAGGAGACGTTCTATTTTCGGCTAATCGTAGTTGGCGTCGAACAAAATTTTTATTTATCAGAGATTTTACTATCAACATTTTTTGATCAGCAATCACTTTTCAAAAATTCAAAAAACTTAAAAAATTTTGTGTGAAACCATGCAAGCAGTTCTTTTATCTATCGCCATGGTTATGTATAAGAACAACGAAGAACTGAAAGGTAGAATTAAGAAGAAAGAATTGATAAAGAAAACTTTTTATTGGCCCGCGCGATGGTGTAATGGTTAAGGTGCCTGGTTTTGTTGATGCAGTGCCCGGGTTCTAACGCAAAATAATCTCCGCCTGTTACATGCAAGAACTTATATTATTGACATTTGATTCAAATGTTTTTTGAAGTTTGTTGATAGAAAATAAACATACAAAAAATAAAACTTTAAATTTCAGTCCAATGTAATGTTGCTAACTGCTTCTCGTGCAACACACCGAACGTCTGTGCAGTCTGTAACAGTGGGTACACTTTGAATGTCACCAGCAACAGATGCGATGGTATTTATTTGTATCAACTTGTGTCCATTTCACCTCATTTCAAATTTAAATCAGCAAATTATACCAAAAGTATATTGAAAACAATTAATTAAATGTACGCAGTGCTATGCAACATTCCAAACTGCCAATACTGCCAGTCACCCAACAGATGTTCTCAATGTAACAGCGGCTACAATTTGGATGGCAATGGAAACTGCGTTTGTGAGTATACAAAATAATGAAATTGATAAAATTTCATTTTTCTTGATTTAATTTTTTTCATGTTACGAGTTTCCAACATATGTTAGAAAATTATAACGAATCGCTAGTGTCTATTTCGGAATAGGAATAGGTTTTGAAATGTTGCACACATTAGTTATTCACTTTGATGATTCTTCTAACGGTTCACATTTCAAACTAAAATTTATAACCAGTTCTTAAGTTTATAATAAGTAAACATTGAAGAAAATGTAGCAAACATTGTAGCATATGAAGCAAACATTGAAACAAATGTAAAATTTTCAAATATGAATTTTTTGGCCGTGTTTAATAAAACTCTGCCTATTAATAAACTTTGATGTTTCAAATAAAACGAAAAAGAATTGAATGTAATGAATACCAAATATTTATTCACGGTTTCGTTTATTTGTTTATTAAAATGAAATTTGTTTCAATTATGCTTAATCTTTCATTACATCCAAACGCAACAAAAACCTCTCATTAAGACAAAAAATGACGGCTTAGCGGTTTTAGATGCCTGGGCCTGGTTTGCAGTGCGTGCAGAGACCAGATTTGAATGCGAAAATTGATGCCAGTCTTTAGCATGCTTAATGTGTGATGCGTCGTTAAACCTGTTATTTGCTTAAAATGTTTGTGTGTCGTTGATTTCTCGGAGTTTTGGAAAAGTGTTAAATATCTTTTTCAATTTTTAATATAAATTTTAGCAAAGAAACACAATGTACACAAGTTTTTTTTCAAATTTGATGTGAATTTGTTTTAAAATTTCAGTGCAATGCAGTGTTCCCAATTGTCAAAACTGTCAGTCACCCAACAGATGTTCCCAATGTAACAGTGGTTACAGCTTGGATAGCAGTGGAAACTGCGTTGGTGAGTACACCAAATATATTCACTTTTAGGATATTTTAAATGAAGATTCGTTCAATGAAATCAAATTTAAGTTTACTAGTTTTTTGTTGCAACACTATTTTCCAAAATTTGATAATTTTATTAATTTTTAAACATTTGTTGGCAATAATTGGTAGTGAAATTTTAAAAATAAATTCGTCCACGTTTTATATTAGAACTATTTCCAAAAGTATGGCTCTCTTTATAGAATTTTTTAATACATTTGATAAGAAAGATTTAAAAATCTAAACTAACGAAAAAATTCAGTTCAGTGCAACGTAGCAAATTGTTTTTCGTGCAACACACCGAACGTGTGTGCAGTTTGCAACACTGGATACACTTTGAACGCTGCCAACAACAGATGCGATGGTTAGACGTTTTTCTTGATCATTCATTTCTTGTTCATGTTCTTGTTCAGAATGCTTGTTTCAATTTCTTTTACTAATATTTAATAATTTGTTATAAATTTTCAGCACAGTGCAACGTTCCAAACTGCCAACAGTGTCAGTCACCCAACAGATGTTCCCAGTGTAACAGTGGCTACAACTTGGATAGCAATGGAAATTGCATTCGTTAGTTGGATATATTTATATGATGTCACTTATAGTGAAGAATGTTTGCCAAATAATTTGATTACGAGAATTATTTTTGACGTTATTAAATCTGATATGTATAGATCAACATTATTGGAAATTGATTTGACAGCGTTTGTTTATTTCAAACTTATGACAACAATTTTTTTTCAACTGTTATAAAATTGTTTTGAAACAATAACAGTGCAGTGCAACGTTCCAAACTGTCAAACCTGTCAGTCACCCAACAGATGTTCCCAATGTAACAGTGGTTACAACTTGGACAGCAATGGAAACTGCATCAGTGAGTTGTTGAAATATTTTTTTGTAAAAATATTAGTTACTATATGATAAAAATATTTTGCAAATTTTTAGTCCAGTGCAACATTCCGTTCTGCCAGTATTTTGTTTATGGTAAAATATTTGATAAAACTGTATTTAAGTTATGTACATCTAAGTTTATAAAAAATGAATGTAAAAATTTATTTCAAATTGTGTTAAACTTATTTCAAATTGTGTTAAATCTTGGATCTCATTACCTTCTTTATATATATAAAGTTATGTGTTATGTTTAAATGAGGTGCATTATCGAGATAATGTTTATCTTGTAATGGCTGAAGTTTGTTTTGATTTATATATTTTATCGAATTAAAATTTGAATAAAATTATTTAACTTAAGCTGCACCAATCCCGTGCAACGTTGCAAACTGTCGACAATGTCTCTTTGCAAATGTGTGCAATCAGTGCAACGATGGTTACACGCTCGACTCCACTAACAACGTTTGCAGATGTGAGCGTTTTTTCACGTTAATTTACAATTTAAATTGTTATCAATATGACATTGAAATTTAAGTATTCTAGTGAATTCATTAAATTATGGTGAATAGATTTTTATTTCGGTGATTTTAATCCGAGTAGAAATAAAAAACATTTTATTCTCAGTGCAATGTAACATCGCCAACTGTTACGCGTGCAGTTCTCCTAACGTCTGTGCCGTTTGCAGCACTGGATATACTCTGAATGCCGCCAACAACAGATGCGATGGTTGGAAAGTTTATTGTTGAAATACAATTTAATTATCAGTGCGTTTGGATAAAAACGAACCATCACTGAATTGATTTTTTGCATACAATTTTTCTGAATTATTTGCCAATTAATTCTTTACCTTTTTATAACAGTGCAATGCAACGTTCCGAATTGTCAAAACTGTCAGTCACCATACAGATGTTCTCAGTGTAACAGTGGTTACAACTTGGATAGCAATGGAAACTGCATTCGTTAGTATAAAATATATCATATTCATGAAGGAAACATCTTAAATTACGCTATGGAATGTAATGTGTGTATGGTATTTTGTTTTTTACACTGATTGAAAGTATTTACAAAATTTATTTGAATAATTTCAAAGTTCAGACACACAAATCACCCAAATACGCACACACACACATTCTTACATACAAACATACAATGAGTATATAATGTTATTAAAAAAAAGTATATCCGAAATTTAAAAAAAAAATGTTTCCAGCCCAGTGCAACGTTGCTAACTGCCTTTCTTGTAGCACACCGAACGTGTGCTCAGTTTGCAACGGTGGATACACTTTGAACGTCCCTAGCAACAGATGCGATGGTTAGAAACTTTTTGCTGTCGATTTTAATTTAATTATGCTTTTCAATTTTTCTTTATTAAAAAAAATGTTTAATGTCAAAAAATTCGAATTCTACTTTGTAGAACTCACGGTGCACTGGACGTTTATTTCTAGCCATTCATTAATTATAAGATGTAATTTCAACCAATGATTTCTCATAATCAATGACTGTACTGTGTACATAATCCAAAACGAGCAGTATTAAATAATGGTTCTCCAGTATATGGCTTTTCACAAAAATCCCAATAGTCAACGAATCGTTAAGAAGGTGTCTAGGAGCATACTGAACATCGCCATCCATACGTCTCCATGTTTTGGCAGAGAAAATGTCATTAAATTTAAGACACCAAAAATTAGCCTTAATATACTATCTAAAAATTAAATCTCAGATAAAAAACCTGGCATATAAATACATAACAGCAAAAACTAAGGCAGCAAATTTTAAATCAATTCCAACAATTTTAATAAGACTAAAAAAAGAATTCATCAAAGACATTAAAAATAAAAAAACAAAGGCACCAAAATTAAAATTAATTCCAACACTTTTAATAAAACTAAAAGAATTCATCAAAGACATTAAAAATAAAAAGACCATGGAAAAATTAAAGTTTGAATTTCTTCCTTGGTTACTAAAGCACCCAGAAATTGATACGTCAATAGCAGGAATGGGCCAAGATGTAAAACTAGCAAAAACGTTAGTTAAAAAAAAATTAATAACATTTAAACTTTATTCAAATATATACGGATGGATCATAGGCAAAGGAAAGTGTTCATTGATTAATGATGCACCTACCAGGAGCTGCTTCAATTTGCACCGCAGAGATCCTTGCTATAGACAAAAAAAGACATGGCTTTAAACTTCATTATTAATTCAGAGAAAAATAAATTTCTAGTATTTTCGGATTCCTTGTTTACTCTATCAGCCTTGAAACAATACAAACTTCTAAATCCATTAATAATTCAAATGAAAATTAAAATTTATAATATCCTGGATTGCAAAAAAATTAATTATAATATGATTCCCCAGTCACGTTGGAATTGAGAGAAATGAAAAGGTAGATCAGATGGCTTCTCAAGGTCATTCGATGCCATTATCTAAAGTTCCAATTCCGTCCAGTGATTTAAAGAATTCAACAAACAACCTTATTGTTGAAAAAAGGCCGGAAGAGTGGATTAAAACATCAAATTCCTTAAAATTAATTATGCCATCAGTAAATAACAAAAAGTTTAATAATAGTTATTTAAATCGTCAACTTCAGTCTGTAGATCAATAGATTAAAAATAGGACAACCAGCAATCACACATTCCTGGATCCTCAACAAAACAAAGCCACCTTATTGTGAAACCTGCGACAAAAAACTATAATTTTAGCATATATTAACTGAATGTGAAAAATTTGATTAGATCAAATAAAACTCGGGGTTCCATCAAATGAAGAATTGCTCTTTCGGAATAAAAATTCGAAAAGTCTTGATTTCATTTGTAAAGGAAATAGATTTGATCAACAGAATTTGAAGTTTTCTAGATGTCACAACAAAATAATCAGTTTCTAAGGATCCAATGGCGTGAAAATAGCAGCATCGTGCTGAAACGCCGTTAAGCTGCAAAAAAAACAATAATTTTTAATATATTTATAACCTTCTAAATTGAAATTTCGTCGTTTCACTGAGCTGCACTAGAAATGTTTTTAAATGTTTGTTTAATGCTACAAAGTTAGAATAATATTGATATATACATGTCTTTTCATTTTAAATTTTAATCCTGATAATGTTGTGATTTTTATTTTATTTAAAGTTGCAATAATTATTGCCTCGATAGTATTTTTATTAAAGTTTTCCTTGAAGAAGATAAAACAAATACAAATTTTGATTCACTTATTAATAAATCCAGTCCAGTGTAACGTTGTCAACTGTGTTTCGTGCAATACACCGAACGTGTGTTCAGTTTGCAATCAAGGATTCACTCTGAATGTTGCTAACAACAGATGCGATGGTTATACTTTTTTACCATTTCGCACTGAATTGCATTAATTTGCATTTTTTTATTGATTTTTATTGTGCAATGCAACACTCGAAACTTCAAAACTATCAAAACTGACAGATTAAAAAAATGATTGTCATTTTTTTTTTTTACAAACTCATTCAGTCCAGTGCAACGTTGCCAACTGTGTTTCGTGCAACACACCGAACGTGTGTGCAGTTTGCAACACTGGATACACTTTGAACGCTGCCAACAACAGATGCGATGGTTGTTTTTTATGTCTTTTGATTTGAATTGTATACTGAATTTTTAATTTTTCCATTTTTATTTCTAATTCAAATACTTGCAGATTCAAAACTGATACAATTAGTTATAATTTTATTTTCAGTGCAATGCAACGTTCCCAACTGTCAAACCTGTCAGTCACCCAACAGATGTTCTCAGTGTAACAGTGGCTACAGCTTGGATAGCAATGAAATCTGCATTCGTTAGTGAAGTATTTTGATGTGCGACGATAATGATGATGACAATTTTTTTGAATCTTTTGTTTCCATATCCTGCTTTGAGGCTTTATTTCTTCATATAAAAGACTAAATAAAATTTTCAACAATTACAACAATATTATTAAGTATTTATATTGAAAACAATTCCAATAATTTATATTCGCAGCACAATGCAACGTTCAGTTCTGCCAGCAATGCCAAGCACCGAACAGATGTTCCGTCTGTAACAGTGGCTACTATCTGGATAGTAATGCAAACTGCGTTCGTGAGTATTTTAGTTTTAAACATAGTTATAAGTTTATAATTTAAATTTTTTAGTTTTCTCAAGTTTTCTGTTTTGAACTAAACACTGAAAACAATTATTTTGAATGAAGAAATTCCAATAACGTGCAACGTTGCCAACTGCCGATCATGTCTCGTAGCGAATGTCTGCTACCTGTGCAATGATGGTTACACGCTCGATACCAACAATAACGTCTGCAGAAGTGCGTTTTGTTTTGAATATCATCCGGTTATTTATTGTAACTTTTCAGTTTGTTCTGACCTACTCTTAAATTTTAATCATAATTTGTTGGAGAGTTATAAACTTATTCAATTGTAAATGCTCAGCTGTTTAAACAAGTAAAAATTTGTTAAATGTAATAAACCCGAACAATCATTTGATACATAACTGTCATTTTCAGTCCAATGTAATATCGCTAATTGTTTGACGTGTAACTCGCCGAACGTGTGTGCACTGTGCAACAATGGGTACACGTTGAATGTCGCTAACAACAGATGCGATGGTTGGAAACTATTTTTCATTTAAAATAAATTTTGATCACAATATTTTTCATAATTTTTTAACAAAATATTTTCTAAAGACCCAAAGCTGAAACATACAAAATTAAATTAGAATTTGTATAATGATGACAGTGCAGTGCAACGTTCCTAATTGCCAGAACTGTCAGTCACCCAACAGATGTTCCCAATGTAACAGTGGCTACAATCTGGATGGCAGTGGAAACTGCGTTGGTGAGTACAAAAATGGAATATACTTTGCAGAACGAATAATAATAATTATGAAATAAAATGAATTGATATTTACAACGATACAGTGTGGAATTTCCATTTTTTGAAGTTAATGTAAAAATGTTACATAATTAACCATAAAATACCGAAATTGTTTTCTTCATAAATTTTTGAGTTCAATTTAATATCTGACCCTATATTATTGAGATGAACATGTCGGTCATGTATTACCTTACTATAAATTTAACCTTTTATTAGAGTTTGCAATTTGAAATCAACTCTATTAGTTCACTTTTGTGAGATAGATAAAAATGATTGAAAACGTAATTAAAATTTTAATTAAAATGGTAGTTTCCTTACTTGTTCAACTATGAAACCTCTTTTCAATTTAATGTTTGAACATGAACAATCATTTATTTTTGATATATATTTTTATAGTTACTGTATAACAGGCAAATATTTCGACATTCACAGCTCAATGTAACGTTCCATTTTGTCAACAATGCCAATCACCCAACACATGTTTCCAATGTAATAGTGGCTATAACCTGGATAGCATTGGAAACTGTATTCGTGAGTAGAAATAAATTATATGCGATGATTAGTCCTTATGTTAGTATTATGAAAAAAAATTAGTCCCCACTTGTTTTATATAATAATTTCTCATATGTACATGATATATTTCAATCTCATTTTTTTATTTTGTAACATATAAGACGCTGTCCAGACATTCGATTTAAACAATTTTTAGTGTATGTATATTTTATTTATGTACATTGATTTTGTAGACTGATAATTTGAGTTATTTTGTCATTTATGTCCTTGCAGTCATGATTAACATTCGCACGCCATAAAAATATTATTTTATAATTTGGTCTCTTATCATTTTTATTTAAAAAATGTATTTAGTTTGATTAATAAATATTTTATTAGAGTTGATGAGATTATTCACATTTTTCAGCTCAGTGCAACGTTCAGTTCTGCCAGCAATGCCAAACACCAAACAGATGTTCCATATGTAACAGTGGCTACAATTTGGATGGTAATGGAAACTGCGTTCGTAAGTGATTTTTAAAGGCAATTTTCGTTGTAAATATGTAAATTTTGTTTAAGCGGTTCGTTTAGTATTGATTAACCATAAAGTGTTCCGATCCATACTTGCTTCAAAAATTAATTTCTGTGAGAAACTTAAAAGCCTAATTCTTTTTTTTATTTATTTTTTCAGATATTTTTTATCTTCAGAAAAGCAAAAGTTTCACTGTAAACATTTTTGCTTAGTTCATTTTGTAAGCACTGATAAGTATCGATTGAATTCGTATTTATTCTGTTTTTCCATATGATCTTTTTCTAATTAAATATATTTCTATGCTACTTTGAACAGATGGTTAATGATATTTTATGTTTTTACGTTTTACTAAAAAAATTTTTGAATTTGTAGATTATATGAAAGTCTAAAATCCTTATATATTTTCTTCTCAGTCCAATGCACTGTTGCCAATTGCTTGTCGTGCAGCACTCCGAACGTGTGTGCGGTCTGTAACAATGGATACAATTTGAATGTTGCTAACAACAGATGCGATGGTTGGATATTTTGTTCATGAAATAAGAAATTATGTCCAAAGTTATTTTGCATTTTAAAAATTTTGTTTTTAATTTGTTATTTGTTTGGGTTATTGGACCACGGGATGGCTCAATGGTTGATGGTGCATGGTACTGCTTTGCAGCGACTAGATTTGATTGCATTGTAGTCAGTGGATTTTTTGGTGTATTTAAATGGGATTGAATGGGGCATGGGTTATCAACAGTGAACAATCATTTTGTAACTTTTTGAAAATTTAGCAGAAAAACTAGTTTAATTACTTGTTTTACATTAAAACAAGTTAACCAAGCGATAAGTGAAAAAGAAAAATAATCGCCAAGTATTTCTAGTTTTGATCCCCCATCTTAGTTGTCTGGTTCTTGTGAACGATGCATGGATTCGCACGTAAGGCTCTGCACCACGCATGCTGTTGTTGTCTGGGTGATAATAAAGAGAGAATGAATTTCCATTCGTTAACTTTCCGAGTTTTCGTCATTCATAAAACTTGTTTATAAGTGTTTCGACAACTCATCCCAAATTTGAGAAATTTTTTTAAAAATGATAATGGTAAAATAGAAGATATAGAGAATGTATATAGTCAGTCGATATGCAAATAGGAGAGGTAGTTTTAATCAATTTAAATAACGAAATGAATGCAGATAGCACTTTTAACCCAAATCTCAGAAATAACATCGGTATTGGTCGTTCTAGGGTTAAAGTAGTTTGGTGGATGCAATAAGTTTTTCAATTTTTGATAATGCACAGCAGATGTCTGAAAATTTGAGGTGTTCCGTTGAAAGTAAATTGCAACTTGCGAATTATAAGTTCAAATTATTTGTACAAGTTTTGATAATAAATATAAAAATTTTAATAGAAATAGTTTCCTCTCAAAAGAAAAATAACTGTATTTAATATTTAAAAACACAGTGCAATGCAACGTTCCAAATTGTCAAAACTGTCAGTCACCCAACCGATGTTCTCAGTGTAACAGTGGTTACAACTTAGATGGCAATGGAAACTGCATACGTGAGTGAAATATAATTATCAAATTTCATGGTACAAATTATAGCATTTCAATTGTTTAGACCGTATTGTGGGCAAACCATAATTTGTGCCTAATTTGTTAACAACTTGCAGTTAATTTTTTCAAAAATATTTAAATAAAAATCGTTATTGTTGTTGATGATAAAAATGCTTCAAATACTTTTCAGCGCAATGCAACGTTCAGTTCTGCCAACAATGCCAAGCACCGAACAGATGTTCCGTCTGTAACAGTGGCTACTATCTGGATAGTAATGCAAACTGCGTTCGTAAGTACACTGATTTAAATTCGACGTTTCAATTCTAATGTAAATGTGATTGTTTAAAACCATATTTATTAATATATTGTAGCACTTTTGCTAATGTTTACGCTACCAAAGTTTTATTGTTTTTTTTATCTATTTTGTAGTTTCTGATAAATTTTATATTTTGTTTTAGTACTATCGAAGAATTTTAGAATTTGAAAATTAATGTTTGGTATTAATAATATATCAGATTATGTGTTCAATGACTTCTTGTATAACTTGTATTCATTATATTAGCTGATATATATATGTGTTCTAATTTCAACTATTATCTGCTTGGTGACTGTTTTGTATCTGTTAAATTAGGTTAGCTGTTAGTTTTCTCTTTGTTTTCAACTTTTTTTGGTACTGTCTATTAGCATATGTTTTTTCCTTAACTGAAAAACGTTTTAATTAGCAAAACATATAAGAATAAATTTATAAATTTTAAAAATGTTTTGAATATAATTTAACTATAGAATAGTATTTAATCTGATGATATGAACATTTCATAAAGCCATCCCAGTATCATGCAACGTGGCGAACTGCAAGTCATGTCTCGTTGCAAATGTATGCATCCAATGCAACGATGGATACACGCTGGACACCAATAACAACGTTTGCAGAAGTGGGTGATTAAAAAAATTTCAATTTTGTTTAAAGCTACAGTAATATTTGTAATTTTTAAATTTTTTTCAACTTTACATTTGGTTTATTTTATTTCAAATGAGACAAAAGTAAGGCGTTAAACATCGAATCCTAAAATACAGTCCAGTGTAACATTGCTAACTGCTTGACGTGTAACTCTCCCAACGTGTGTGCAATCTGCAACATTGGATACGTTTTGAATGCGGCCAACAACAGATGCGATGGTTAGAAAATTTCGTTTTGTAATGTTGATTTTAATTAATTTATGTTCTGATTTTTGAAATCTAATCATCTAAAAATACTAAATTGGTTTATATTAAAATACAGTACAGTGCAACGTTCCGAATTGTCAAAACTGTCAGTCACCCAACAGATGTTTCCAATGTAACAGTGGCTACAGCTTAGAGAGCAATGGAAATTGTATTCGTACGTACAAATAAGTTTTCCAACGTTTAAAAAATTAAATTATTTAAATGAAAACAATTTGTCAGCAACTAGTACGTAGATGACAGTCGATTTCTATAAAGTAATAAACTCAGATCCTAGTTATAAATAATACTTTAAATCGCTAAAAAACAGTCAACATTCAATCAAGCTAAAAATTATAAGGAAAAAGTGTGCACAACTGTGTACGAAAAAGTAGGAAATTAAAGTAACCACAAAATTTTGGTTACTTCTTGGAGTTGAACATCAGAATATCTTTTCAAGCAATATTTTTACTATCATGTTACTAAAAATCTCATCAATTTAAATTATTAAGTAGTTCTCAAGTATTTCAATTTTTTATCATTTGATTTTAATTTGTTTAAAAAAATAGTTGAATAAAAAATTATTAACCTTCTGAAATTAGCGCAATGCAACGTTCCAAATTGTCAAAATTGTCAGTCTCCAAACAGATGTTCCATATGTAACATTGGTTACAATTTGGATGGCAATGGAAACTGCGTTCGTAAGTAATTTTTAATGGTAATTTTCATTGTAAATATTACTATTACATATTTTTTGTTGACGCGCTTTAAAAATTAATTTCCATGAGGAAGTAAAAGTTCTGACTTTTTTTTACACTTTCGCCGTTCACATTTTTGGTTAGTTCGTCATGTCAGCACTGATGTCCAACATTTGAATTTGTATTTATCCTGTCTTTTACATGCTCTTTTTTTCTAATCAGATACATTTTTTTATGTTACATTGAGCCGTTGGCTAATGATATTTTTATGTCTTGATATTTTTTTATGAAATTTTTGAATTTTCTGATTCTAAACAATTACTAAAATGTTTGATAATTATCTTTCCAGTTCAATGTACTGTTGCCAACTGTTTGTCGTGCAGTACACCCAACGTGTGCGCTGTTTGTAACACTGGATACACGTTGAATGTCGCCAACAACAGATGTGATGGTTGGATATTTTTGTTTATACACCGAAAAGTTATGTTCAAATTTATTTCGCATTACAATAGGTGTCATGTTATGATCGTGGACATTTTATTGCACAATTTTTTATTTTGATTTGTTGTTCATTTGCTTTAATAAGTGGTTGGATAGCTCCAAATGCATGCAGGTTGATAGTTTAGGCAATTTCGCTCATCATATACAGCGTGAGATGTGTGGTTTCAAGCGTTTCTACGTAAACTTTGTGTATTTTATTGTCGTCTGAGGAGTAATATAGAGAGAATAACTAACTTACAAAGCCTTCAACGCCCAATAAACCTGTTTTATAAGTATCTTGACAACTTATTTTCAAAAATATGTACAATTTTTTTAAATGATACTGGTAAAAATTTGAAAAACGAAACAAATTTTAAACAGGCAGACTGAACAATAATACACAATATTGAAAATAATGATATAATATAAGACAACAAGTCAGTTTGTTTGATATCCAAGCTTGATAATTGTTAAGGTAAGAGAAGAAATTGATATGAGTACATGTTTTGAAAAGGTTATAAATTTTGTATTGATTAAGTTTTTACATACCGTTCGTTAACAGAAATACTATATGAAAAATAATTTAAAATCGCAAACTATTTGTTAGTTTAAGATATTTTAATTTTTGTACTTCATCTCAAAAGAATTGGTCATTACAAAACTCTACTAAAAATTAATCATTATTAATTGGATTTGTTATTGTTTCAATTATTTTTTCAATTTTTTAACAATTATCATAATAAAAATATCAGAAAAGGAAGATATTTTCACATTTATAAAACAGTGCAATGCAACGTTCCAAACTGTCAATTCTGTCAGACACCAAACAAATGTTCCCAATGTAACACTGGTTACAACTTGGATAATAATGGAAACTGCCTTTGTGAGCACTAAATTTATCTATTTCTAGAAAAAAACTTCTACTCGTAACACCTTCATATTGAAATTTGAATTAATGAACATTGAACAATTTATGATAAAAAAAAAACTTTACAGAAAATGATTATAATTTACGAATATTTTTAACCTCAAATACATTTTCAGTGCAATGCAATATTGCTAACTGCGTCTTGTGTAACACACCCAACGTGTGTTCAATTTGCAACCAAGGATTCACTCTGAATGCAGCTAACAACAGATGCGATGGTTAAATTTTTTCCTACTGATTTGATTAAAATGATGCAGTCTCTGTTTTGAAGAAAACTAACGATAATTATTATTTTCAACATTCCCAGTACAATGCAATGTTCCCAATTGTCAAACTTGTCAGTCACCCAACAGATGTTCTCAGTGCAACATTGGCTACAACTTGGATAGCAGTGGGAATTGCGTTCGTGAGTATAATATAATTACCAACTTTTGTTTTAACATTGCTCTAATTTTCATTTGTGCGTACAAATAAATATTACAACGTTTCAGAAAACTAAATAAATCAAATAAAAACGATTTGTCAGCAAAAAGTAAGTAGATGACAGTTGATTTCTTCAGAGTAAATTTTAAGCGCAAGTTTTAGTAAAACTCAATGGTGCAGGCTCTGTAGCTAAAGTGGAAAAGTGGTTATTAAAAAGAAAGATCAGTCGCCAAAGAGGAAATAAATTGTAATCACAATAAAGAGAATCCTCAGAAACTTATGAGCGGCTATTGTGTCAGTGCATAGACTGGCTTGGTTGGGATTTTCCCTGTCGATGGTGATGGCTCTTGACATTCTTAAGGATAATCATACTTTAAACTAAATAAATAGACTAACAAATTGATAAATAATTGGAAATGATAACGAGTATTGATTAAATGACAATTATTTTAAAATATACAGAATTAGCTAATCTCGATAACGCACACCATATCAGCATTATGGGATCTTCAAAGCCGTTAAATGGGAACAAACAAATTTATTTGTAAATTTAAAACAAGGAGATGAAAATGATTTAAATTTTTTAGGATCTTTCATACAGCTCGAAGTTGAACATCAAATTAACATTTCTACAATCGCGCCACTATAAATGCATTAATATAAAATTGTTAATTAGTTCTCAAGTGCTTCAATACCTTTTTATTTAATTTTAATTTCTATTTAAAAATTATTGAATAAAACTTATCCACCTTCCAAAATTAGCGCAATGCAACGTTCCAAATTGTCAGAATTGTCAGTCTCCAAACAGATGCTCTCAATGTAACAGTGGTTACAACTTGGATGGTAATGGAAACTGCGTTCGTGAGTATAAACTTATTTTAAATCTATGCTGCCTTAGTTTTTGCTGTTATGTATTTATATGCCAGGTTTTTTATCTGAGATTTAATTTTTAGATAGTTGTTAGGTAATGGAAACTGCGTTCGTGAGTATAAACTTATTTTAAATCTATGAAACAAAATATTTTTTTTTGAAACTACAAGAAACATTTGAGTAAGAAGGCATTAGAATAATAGAACATCTCATCAAAAATGCTTTTTGAATTTTATTAAGTGTGGTATTTGAATTTTTAAATTTCTAACTTTAACTTTTTCAGTTCAATGCAACGTTGGCAATTGTTTCGCTTGCAGCACGCCGAACGTGTGTGCGGTTTGCAACAATGGATACACTTTGAACGTCGCTAACAACAGATGCGATGGTTGGGCATTTTTACTGTTAATTTTAATAAAATACTGTTATGTATGTATTTCCTTTCGTGAAAAAAATTCAAACATTTTAAGAAAAGTAGAAAATAAAAACTGTTAGTATTCACATCCCATTTTGTTAAACAAAATAATTCCTCATTTCAAGAAAAAAAACGTTAAATATTTACAACTTATCCAGTGCAGTGCAACGTCCCAAATTGTCAAAGTTGTCAGTCACCCAACAGATGTTCCCAGTGTAACAGTGGCTACAACTTGGATAGCAATGGAAATTGCATTCGTGAGTAAAAATTTTCTCTTTGATACATTTTAGAGCAACGTCGGCAAGCAAACAATGAATCTTAAAATCTGAATAACATTTACTATCGCATCATTGCACTGCTCAAACAATTGATTTTTTTTATTTTTATACGCAACTTGTAGCAATTTCTTTCTTTCAAATTTTCTAGAAGATTTTTATTTTTTGAACGATTTAAATGCTTTCCAGCGCAATGCAACGTTCAGTTCTGCCAGCAATGCCAAGCACCGAACAGATGTTCCGTCTGTAACAGTGGCTACTATCTGGATAGTAATGCAAACTGCATACGTATGTACAAAGATTCAAAGTTGACATTATAATTTTAGATTAAGTGAATCACTAATGTTTATTTTAATTGACTGCCATTTTTTCTATTTTTTGTTTTTTTTTAAAGTTGATTTTGATGCATTGTATAAAATGATAAAAGTTTGACCGTCTTTGTAATTTTTTAATTCAATCAATTTTTAGTATGTTTGAAATTTTCAGTCATTAATTTAAATCTTTGACTTTAGATTTTCATTGATCAAAAAAATTAATTTATTCTCTTTCTAAATTTTTTTCATAAAGCCATCCCAGTATCATGCAACGTGGCGAACTGCAAGTCATGTCTCGTTGCAAATGTATGCATCCAATGCAACGATGGATACACGCTGGACACCAATAACAACGTTTGCAGAAGTGGGTGGTTGGACAAATTTCAATTTTGTTCAAAGTTATACTGAAAAGTTTTTTATACGATTGTTTTCAAACTTAATTTGTAACAAACTTATAGTTTAAATTATTTCAAATAAAATCATAAGACGTTTATTATACCATCCATAATTTCAGTTCAATGTAACATTGCTAACTGCTTGACGTGTAACTCTCCCAACGTGTGTGCAATCTGCAACGTTGGATACGTTTTGATTGCGGCTAACAACAGATGCGATGGTAGAAGTTGATTTCAATAGATTTTTTCTATTTTTTACTAAAAATATTTCAAATAAATAAATTTGTTTATGTCTTAATGACAGTGCAATGCAACGTTCCCAACTGTCAAAGTTGTCAGTCACCCAACAGATGTTCTCAGTGTAACAGTGGTTACAACTTGGATAGCAGTGGAAATTGTGTTGGTCAGTATAAACTTAATGCTTTTTTAAGAAAATAAAATTTTTGTGTAGATCCCTTTAAAATCTTTGATTTATAGCACTAAGAACAAAAAAGCATTTGAACAAAAATGCTATTCGAATTTCGATAAATGTATAAATTCTATTTTTAAATTTTTGACTTGAAATTTTTTTTCAGTTCAGTGCAACGTTGGCAATTGTTTCGCGTGCAGCACACCGAACGTGTGTTCAGTTTGCAACAATGGATACACTTTGAACGTCGCTAACAACAGATGCGACGGTTGGGCATTGTGAAGTTGATCTAAATTAAATAAAAAACTTTGTGTATATTTTGAAAAAAACTATTCCGATCTTTTATTAAAAAGTTGAAAATAAAAATTTTAAACATTCACATTACGGTGTGTAAAACGAGAAAATTCTTCATCTGAAGAAAACTAACAGAAATACTTTCTATATTCCCAGTGCAATGCAACGTCCCAAATTGTCAAAACTGTCAGTCACCCAACCGATGTTCTCAGTGTAACAGTGGTTACAACTTGGATAACAGTGAAAAATGCATTCGTGAGTAAAACCTTCTTTCTTTATTACATTTCAGAGCAACAAAAACAAGCACACAACCCATTCATATAAATAACTTGAATCAACCAATCTCACACTACTTATGACCAACGGGAACCACTTCCATTCGATCTTGGTCACTGTAGCGGCAATTTTTGCCACCTTTACTATTGCACCATGGCCATACCAATAAAATAGAATAAACCAACTGTAGAGCGGTAATACATATAATTTTATTTGTTTTATTCAAAATTTTTTTTCTAAAAGCAATTTGTAGCAATATTTTTAAAATAGTTATTACAACATTACCTAGGAACATTATTATTTTTTTAAACTTCATGATTGCTTTTCAGCCCAATGCAACGTTCAGTTCTGCCAGCAATGCCAAGCACCAAACAGATGTTCCGTCTGTAACAGTGGCTACTATCTGGATAGTAATGCAAATTGCATTGGTACGTATAAAGTTTCAAATTTGACATTTCTTATTTGGAATGAAATTTTGTTTACAGAGTTATTATTCTTTTCAAATAACTAGAGCCTATTTTGATCTGCAAGCATTTTTCACCTTTTTTGTTTTTCACTTTTTTCAGTAGTTTTTGATGCAACATATAAAATGATTATTTTTTATCATTTTTGTAATTTTTCAATTCAATCATTTTTTAATGTTATCAGAGAAATTTTCTGTCTGTAGTTTAAATCTGTGACTAGAGTTTTATTGATCTAAAAAATTATTTTATTTTCTCTCTAAAAATTGAATTTTTTTCAAAAAGCCATCCCAGTATCATGCAACGTGGCGAACTGCAAGTCATGTCTCGTTGCAAATGTATGCATCCAATGCAACGATGGATACACGCTGGACACCAATAACAACGTTTGCAGAAGTGGGTGGTTGGACAAATTTCAATTTTGTTCAAAGTTATACTGAAAAGTTTTTTATACGATTGTTTTCAAACTTAATTTGTAACAAACTTATAGTTTAAATTATTTCAAATAAAATCATAAGACGTTTATTATACCATCCATAATTTCAGTTCAATGTAACATTGCTAACTGCTTGACGTGTAACTCTCCCAACGTGTGTGCAATCTGCAACGTTGGATACGTTTTGATTGCGGCTAACAACAGATGCGATGGTAGAAGTTGATTTCAATAGATTTTTTCTATTTTTTACTAAAAATATTTCAAATAAATAAATTTGTTTATGTCTTAATGACAGTGCAATGCAACGTTCCCAACTGTCAAAGTTGTCAGTCACCCAACAGATGTTCTCAGTGTAACAGTGGCTACAACTTGGATAGCAGTGGAAATTGTGTTGGTCAGTATAAACTTATTGCTTTTTTTCAGAAAATAAAACCTTCGATTTATAGAACTGAGAACAAAAAAGCATTTGAACAAAAAAGCTATTTGAATTTCAATTAATGTATTAATTGAATTTTTAAACATGAAATGATTTTTCAGTTCAGTGCAACGTTGGCAATTGTTTCGCGTGCAGCTCACCGAACGTGTGTTCAGTTTGCAACAATGGATACACTTTGAACGTCGCTAACAACAGATGCGACGGTTGGCATTTTGAAGTTGATGTAAATTGAATAATAAATGTTGTCTTTTTTTCCAAAATATTATTTCAAACTATTTTTTTCATAAAAACATAAAATAAAAATTTTCAACATTCACCTCATTCTATGTTAAACGAAGAAATTCTTCCTTTGAAGAAAACTAACGTAAATATTTTCAATATTCCCAGCGCAATGCAACGTTCCAAATTGCCAAAACTGTCAGTCACCCAACAGATGTTCTCAGTGTAACAGTGGTTACAACTTGGATGGCAATGGAAATTGCGTTCGTGAGTAAAACCTTTTTTTTATTAAATTTTAGAGCAAAAACGACAAGTATACAACCCATACATGTAAATACATCTGACTCAATGGAACACATCATACACACTACTTTTGAAAGACGGCATCAAACCCAGTCACTGCATACTAATTCCCTTGATGTGGCAACCCATAAACGTTAAATTATTTTTTATATACATTCATACTCTAAGTTACTGTACTTTTGCTATTTCACTATAATACTACATTACAATTTCAATAAATCACAACTAAAAAACTGGAGAATTCTTTTTCGCAAAAATATGTTTTTGGAAATGGTATAAAAAAGCGCAACAAAGTTCTAAAATGTATGGGATATGATTTCAATCATCTTTATCAAAACTGTGAAATTGACATTGAATCGTAATCTTTTTTTACTACATCGCTATTAAGTATTAATCAATGAGATCATTAAATTTTTTGGAGATGGCTGAGGAACATTTTCAATTTTGATAGTGGCAAATGAAAATTGAACATCAGGCAAATTTGGAAAATTTTTTTCTCCAAGATACTATAATAGAAACAAAAATTGATTTGCCATTGGGAGAAAAAAAAACGATTGGCGATAAATAATTTATAATTATATAGACAGCCTTTGTGAAAAGCAACAGGACGCATCACCACCGTTACCATAGAAACAGACAGAAATAGAATAATGACTTCTTGCGATGTTAAAAGATATTATTTTAAAAACTTAAATTAATAATACTATAGTAAAAACAAATTGTTTTATTCAGCGCAAAATTCATTTAAAATGTTCTAAGCATAATTATTCAAAATTATATATGTTTATATATACAAATATATACATATCACAAAAACCACAAGCAGGCTAACAAAACCATATTTTAGCAAATTTTAAACAAGCAAAATATTTATAATCGGCACGCATTCTGCATATAAATACAAACAAAAACAAAATTTCATTAATTGATAGACCGAAAAAAAAAAATGATAAGATAAGATAAGTATCCATTGGCGAAGGTTTGCACAATCGAAAACCTGAAAAAATTGGTGACGGTCTCATGCGACCTCTGGAAAATCCTCATTGGACCTCCAAAGAGGTTTCGACCCACAGGATGAGAACCGCTGACATAGGAGCAGTATTAATTTTATTAAACGTTTTGAATCCTATCCAGCACAATGCAACGTTCAGTTTTGCCAGCAATGCCAAGCACCGAACAGATGTTCCGTCTGTAACAGTGGCTACTATCTGGATAGTAATGCAAACTGCGTTCGTAAGTATATAGATTCAAATTTGAAACTTCTTTTTTTAGAATTATTGTCTCTTTTCAGAGTAGTAATTTTTCAAATTACGATTAATCTTTTTCAATTCAATCAATATTCTATGATATTAACAATTTTGCTAAGGGTCATCAGCGTTTTATTGATCGGAATAAAGTTTTTTATCCTCTAAACATTGACATTTTTTTTCAAAAAAGCAATTCCGGTATCATGCAACGTGGCAAACTGCAAGTCATGTCTCGTTGCAAATGTATGCATCCAATGCAACGATGGATACACGCTGGACACCAATAACAACGTTTGCAGAAGTTAGTATACATTTTATTTTTATTAATTTTATTAAAAATTATCGTTCGTTATTCAATAACGAACATTAATATAAAAGTTCCTTCATGTTTTATGTTCACATTTATATTTAATTTTGTTATAAACTTGATTTGTAAAACATTTTAGCTCATTTAAAGATTAATAAATATATCAAATGAAATGAAAATTAAATGTTCTCCATTATTTTCAGTCCAGTGTAATATTGGTAACTGCCTGACGTGTAACTCTCCGAACGTGTGTGCCATCTGTATCGTTGGATACACTTTGAATGCCGCCAACAACAGATGCGATGGTTACAAAATTTCGTTTTTTGTTCAATTTTTTAAAAAGTATTTTCGGATTTTTAAAGAAAAAACTGAACAATGCACTGAAAAAAAATTTAAATAAATCGTTCGATAACAGTACAGTGCAGCGTTCCAAATTGTCAAAACTGTCAGTCACCCAACAGATGTTCTCAGTGTAACAGTGGTTACAACTTGGATGGCAATGGAAACTGTATTGGTAAGTCAAAAAATTGATTTTATTATTGTAATCAATATGTTTTCAATTTTACCAGGCTAAGATGGGTTATTTTCATATTTTGGGTTAAGTATGCCACTAATTTCACAATATCTTGGATTTAACTTTGAGCTATAACAAATGGAATTGATTTGAAAATGTGAAACTTAAAGATCAAAAACTTTTTATTTTAAAAATCATGTAGTATCCGCATTAAATTTTGTTTGTACGGACAAGCACCATATTAGAGAAATGAGAAACCATCTAAGATTTTAATTTCGTCAGATTTCACGTTGTCGTGCACTTACTAACACTATTTGTTACAAATATAAAAGAAACCATTCTCCCATTCAATAAGAATTTTTAAAATTTTAACTTATACTACTTTTTCAGTTCAGTGCAACGTTGGCAATTGTTTCTTGTGCGGCACACCGAACGTGTGCGCCATTTGCAACAATGGATACACTTTGAATGCCGCTAACAACAGATGCGATGGTTGGAAATTCTTATAATTGATTTAATTTTACATATATTTTTCGTATTTTAATTCAAGTTCTACTTTGCATGAACTGCACAATTAGCGCTGAATAAAATATTTTATTCATAGTTAGACCTTATATTTTTTCAGACCAATGTTTTATACATTAATTTTAACTTTCACAGTGCAGTGCAACGTTCCGAATTGTCAGAACTGTCAATCACCCAACAGATGTTCCCAATGTAACAGTGGTTACAACTTGGATAACAGTGGAAACTGCGTTCGTTAGTATAAAATGATGACATGCTTGCCATCAAAATTATTTGTCGTAGCAATAATGGTGAAAGAATTGTAGTACGGGGATGATTTTTTTTATAGAATGTTTTTACTTTATATAACTAATTAGTATTTTTCAGTTGCAAAGTATATCTATTGTTTTGAAATTACATAATATTAAAATATAGCGATGGTATTATTTATTAGCTGTTGACGATATTTGAAATAGCTTCAATATTAAATTTGATGTAAATGACTCTATTATGAAGACAGTTTAAAGATTTTAAATCATGAACCATTTTCACCAGGGTCTGATTGATCTAAAATATTCGATTCTCAAATTCGTCTGAGATTTCATTAGTTTAAATATTTTGATGATTTTTGATCTTGAAAATTAAAAAAAACAATTCTACTAAACAAAGCCGCACCAATCCCATGCAACGTTGCAAACTGTCGATCCTGTTCAGTAGCAAATGTATGTTACCAGTGCAATGATGGCTACAACCTGGATACGAACAACAACATTTGCAGAAGTCGGTGCTAACTAGAATGGTTTTCCAATATGTATATAATTAACGTTTTTTATTCTTTAAATTACTTAATAAAATTTTTTATTATTTATTTTTTAGTTTGCGCTTAATTTTATACCTAAAAGATTATTATACTAACAAATTTTTTTCAAATAAATATGAACAAATTAGTTCAATGCAATGTTGCCAATTGTTTGTCGTGCAACACACCGAACGTGTGCGCTGTGTGTAGCACTGGATACAACTTGAATGCCGCTAACAACAGATGCAATGGTTAGCAATTTACATTTCTAAGATGATTATAATAAATTGGATATCTTATTGCAAGATTTTTTTTTAAAATATTTAGAAAAATTTGAATTATGTATTAACATTTTTTTATATATTAATAAAAGTGCAGTGCAACGTCCCAAACTGTCAAAATTGTCAGACACCCAACAGATGTTCTCAGTGTAACAGTGGCTACAACTTGGATAGCAATGGAAACTGTATTCGTTAGTATAAAAAACTTGTTTTTCACACATTACCACAACGCATCCAAATCAACATTTTACTCTCTGAAACTAATAATCATCTTTCATCCTTTTTTAACAACTTTTTGAGGAGTAACATATTTTAATTGTTTTTTATTTGTGTTTAATTTGAGCTAGTTTACTAAAAGCTATAATGTTCACAGCTCTTGAAACGTATACAAGCGTGTTTTTACGGATATGCATCACATCATGAGATTCAGGAGTTTAATTATTTTTAGATTTTATCAAAGACAACATTGATCATGTTCTAATGAAATAACTACAGCGAGATATTGAGCTAATTTGCCAGTTGTTAATATTAATTTTTTTTTTTATTACAACCAATTTCATATGATTTGATTCCATTAATTTGTATGTTTGTTTGAAATTATTTTCCAGTCCAATGCAACGTTGCCAATTGCTTCTCCTGCAACACACCGAACGCGTGTGCAGTCTGTAACAGTGGATACATTCTGAATTCCGCTAACAACAGATGCGACGGTTTGAATCTTTTGTTCTCTATTTTCTTCTTTTTTTAAATGACAAAAGCAACAGAATTGTGTCAAATTTTTTTTTACCTCCACAGTGCAATGCAACGTTCCAAACTGTCAATTCTGCCAGTCTCCAAACCAGTGCTCTCAATGTAACAGTGGCTACAACCTGAACAATGGGAACTGTTCTCGTACGTATAAATTGTTTATATGTAATTACAATTTATATAAAATAATTGTAATTAGTTAAAATAGAAAATAAAAACAATTATTCTCAGGTTGTATTGTTGAACTAATAAATAATGTTGTAATGATAAAAAATAATTTATCCGTTGCATAGCATAAAAAAATGATTGAACATTTATTACAAATGGTGACCAGTTTCCTATATTTTTTTATATTCCAGGTGTTATTTTACTGAAAAACAAAAATTAACATCAAATGAACACAAATTATTAATGAAATTTCAAAATTTTCAGCCCAGTGCAACGTTCAGTTCTGCCAGCAGTGCCAAACACCGAACAGATGTTCAGCTTGTAACAGTGGCTACAATTTGGATGGGAGTGGAAACTGCGTTCGTAAGTGCACTAATTTAAAACTTTGATTTCGTACAAGTTTTCGTATAGACTTTTTTGATTTTTTAATATAAGTTTATTACTGTCATCTTATTTATTTTGACGTTAATATTTTATCATAGGTTGTTTGTAGTCTACACCAAATATATATTTTAAGTTTATGTTACAAGAAGTTGGAATGTCTTAATCCGACCGGCATCATTCAAGATTGATTTCAAAAACATTCTTTAAACAATCGACAGATCAAATATTTCTCCAGTTGCAAATCAATTCTTGAGCGCCATTTAAATCTCCCGACGTTGATAATGATAATAATACTATCGACCTTAGTGTTTCTATACAATTATATTTATTGATTGGTGAAAGGTCGCATATCATACTTTTAAAAAATGCCAAGTGGCAGATATAAATGTTAAGAAATTTGATATTTTATTCAATTTTTTCAGCTCAATGCAACCTGGAGAACTGCCAGCAATGTTCAACACCGAACAGATGTTCAAATTGTGCTAACGGTTTTGTTTTGAACAATGATGGAACATGCCGTCGTAAGATATTCACTAATTTTATAATTTGTCATTGCTAATTAATTAATTAGCTTCTCAATTAACTAAAAACTATCATACATCATGCTTGGGCGGTGCGGTGCTTGCGCGTGCTTACATGACGTGTATGAACGTTCAGTGGTATGGGAAGTTCAGCATTTGTGGCACGAAAAGTCTAATGCGTTCTTGAGGGCTTAAACAGGCGCTATATAAACCTTAATTCTCATTTATAATTTAAAAGATTTCTACTTTTACATTTGATAAATAAAAATGTAAGTCGAAATTATATAATTTTTGTATTATTGACTTTTAAATTGGTCGTGATAATTGTCCTAAATTCATTTCGAATGAAGTCGCCCCAATCCCATGCAACGTTGCAAACTGTCGAACATGCTTCGTAGCGAATGTCTGCTACCAGTGCAATGATGGTTACACACTCGATACAAACAATAACGTCTGCAGAAGTCAGTGCTTTTTAAAATATTTTTTTATTTATAAATTAACTTTTTAAATCATTTCACATTACCTGAATCTTTTTTTCTTGGCTAATTTTATAGTTTTGATGTTGTACAAAATCATGTATAAAAAATTTGACAAATTACTTTTTTTATAAAATGAAAATTAATCAAAAAATAAAATATCCATTCTATTCTCAGTTCAATGCAACGTTGTCAATTGTTTGTCGTGCAACACACCGAACGTGTGTGCGTTCTGCAACAGTGGATACAACTTGAATGTCGCTAACAACAGATGCGACGGTTGGATATTTTGTTTATAAAATGAAAAATTATTTTAATTGTAATTTATTTTTTCTTTGTTAAAAATCCGTAGAAAAGCTGTTTTACTTGAATAAAATTTGTATGTTTCAATAACAGTCCAATGCAACGTTCCAAACTGTCAAAATTGTCAGACAACCAACAGATGTTCTCAATGTAATATTGGTTACAATTTAGATAACAATGGAAACTGCCTTCGTTAGTACACTAAAATATTTACTCTTTGAAACGAAACGTTAATGTAAACATGTTCCATTCAAGAATTCCACCGTTCAACAGAAATAGTTTTAATAATAGTGCAGTGCAGCGTGAAAAAACTATTTTTACGTGCTCGGATTATTTCAAATTTTCAATTAAAACTCTTTCCAGTTCAGTGCAACGTAGCTAACTGTTTCTCGTGCAACGCACCGAACGTCTGTGCTGTTTGCAACAATGGATACACTTTGAATACCGCCAACAACCGATGCGATGGTCTGCAGTTTTTGTGTTAAAATAAGCTTTCATTTCATTTTATTACAAGTTTCAGATATTGAAGTTGGCATTGTTTTTGTTTAAAAAACAATTTTCTGTTTACAGTGCAATGCAACGTTCCAAACTGTCAATTCTGCCTGTCTCCAAACCAGTGCTCCCAATGTAACAGTGGCTACAACCCGAACAATGGAAACTGTTCTCGTACGTACAAATTTTAAACGTAGATTTATGACTAAAAAAGATAGCATTAATAATTATATTTTTTATCGTTATACTAAAAGCAATGATGTAATTTTAGTAATCAAAATTTTCCTTTAGTACCAATTACGTTAATGAATAAGATATGTTTTTCAAATGGTGACTTATTTTCTAACATTTTTTCTACTTTTGACATTATTTCAATTAAAACTGTTAATTAACTTTGGTGATCACAAATTTTCAGCGCAATGCAACGTTCAGTTTTGCCAACAGTGCCAAACACCGAACAGATGTTCTGCGTGTAACAGTGGCTACAATTTGGATGGGAGTGGAAACTGCATTTGTAAGTATTCCAGTTTTAAAATGATTACTTCCAAATTTTGTTTGAGTCTTTAGAGTTAAGATTCGTTCATCACAAACGACTTCTATTTCCGAACATTTGTATTAGTTGTGCGTACCAGTGATTCCCAGTTGAAGATCCATTTATTAAGGATTGCTTGCTTCTGCCTATGTCAAATTGGATCAATTTAAAAAATGTAAACAATAAAACTGATGATTCTATGCAGTAAAGAACTGATTTCAAATAATGCCTTCGTGTGTTATTACTGTAATGATAATTAATGTAGTTGCAATAAAAATTTCTGATGAATACTTTTTAGAACAATTAGGACGCATTTTTTTGATTATTACATTTACTTTTGTAAGAAAAAATGAAGTAGATTTCAAATTATATTTTATTTCAATTTGTTGATAATACGTCGAAAAGCTATTTTGCTTGAATCACATTTGTTTATGTTCCAATAACAGTGCAGTGCAACGTTCCAAATTGTCAAAACTGTCAGACCCCCAACAGATGTTCCCAATGTAACAGTGGTTACATTTTGGATGGCAATGGAAACTGCGTTGGTGAGTACAAACAATTTTTTATTTTAAACAAAACGTTATTATGAACATATTCTCTTCTAGAATTTCAACATTTAACTGCAATAATTTTGATTTTTTTTTATTTCTAAGTAAGTCGATTCCGCTATTTGATGATGTTTTTTTTTCTACTTTCAGTTCAGTGCAACGTTGCTAACTGTTTGTCGTGCAACACACCGAACGTGTGTGCAGTTTGCAACAATGGATACACTTTGAACGCTGCCAACAACAGATGCGATGGTCTGCAGTTTTTGTTCTGGATTTGATTTTTATTTCTTTTTTGTTCAAGTTTCAACATTAGTGTTAGTCATGTTTTCATAAAATAATTTTTTTTCAAATTTTAGTGCAATGCAACGTTCCAAACTGTCAATTCTGCCAGTCTCCAAACCAGTGCTCCCAATGTAACAGTGGCTACAACCCGAACAATGGGAACTGTTCTCGTACGTATAAATTCATAACATGCGATTTATTGTAACGTTAACAATACCCGAAATATCAAAATCAAGAGAAGAAGGGGGGAGATTTTTCCAAATAAAACAATGTGTTAATTCAATCAGGATTTGCGCTATATACCATGCAATATTCGAATTAAAACAATAATAATATAGATTGATAACAAATCTTTTCTTTATTTTCCAAATAATCAGCCCAGTGCAACGTTCAGTTCTGCCAGCAGTGCCAAACACCGAACAGATGTTCAGCTTGTAACAGTGGCTACAATTTGGATGGGAGTGGAAACTGCGTTCGTAAGTATATTAATTTGAAATATAATTTTTTCAAAATTACATGGACTTTGGCGCTTCTTTATAATTTTATATATTTTGACGTTTTTTTTAATTTTTTTAAGTTTTGAGTGCAAAAATTTTGCAGTTGGTAATTCGATTATCTGGAATAGCTTCTCATGGCTTTCCGCAACCAGATATGATTTTTGAAGATTTTGTTAAGCAAGGAAAGCTTTATTTTTTGGAATAATCAATCTGTTCAAAATGAGCTCTGAAGTTTTATTATGGACAGCTATATAAAATTTTAAAGGACAACATTACTTTGACATTATTTTGTTGATACCACAAATTTTTGGTGTTAGTAAAAATTTTTTGAATGTTATAACACATATGTGATTTTTAATTAATTAATTATTTTCAGAAATGAATGAAATTTTTATGCAGCTTTATTACACAAAACATTGTGTAGAAAAAATTGTTTGAAAATTTTCAGTTCAGTGCAACGTGGAAAACTGCCGGCAATGCTCATCTCCGAACAGGTGTTCGGATTGTGCAAGTGGTTTTGTTCTGAGCAGTGGTGGAACTTGTCGTGGTATGATTTTTCCCATTTGTATAATTTTTAATTGATTTTTTAATTTTTTTTAAACTCCCGATGTCATATTTGAATTTTCATGACCACAAATAATGTCTTTCAAAAATTTTTTACTTATATAAGAAACCTCATTTTTTGGAACTTAAATGATCGTCGAAATTAATTTAAAAAGCTGAGCAAATCTCGTGCAATGTTGTAAATTGCCGAACGTGTCTTTCTTCAAACGTCTGTTACCAGTGCATTGACGGATACACGTTGGACGCCATTAATAACCTTTGCAGAAGTTGGTTTTTTCGCATTTGAGTTTTTTAAATCCATGAACAGTTCATTTGACTTTTTCCAATATATTATATAATTGTATCAATATCATTTTTCATTTTGATAAGTAGTTTTATGTTTATGTAGAAATTATATTTCATTGTAAATAATATTTAATGAGGGAAGAAATATTAGAATTGTTGCCTTAAATTTCCAGTACAGTGTAACATTGGCAATTGTTTTCTGTGTAACACGCCGAACGTCTGTGCAGTCTGCAATACGGGGTACAATCTCAATGTTGCTAACAACAAATGCGATGGTTAGGAATTTTTATTGTTGGGACAACAGTAGTTAAATTGCTCGCGGTATATTTTTTCAACTCAAATTGTAAATGACTTTTGAAATTATCATAGTACTCCTAAAACGTTCATGATCTAACACAGTTCAGTGCAACGTTCCGAATTGCCAATTCTGTCAATCGCCTGATAGATGTTCTCAGTGTAACAGCGGTTACAACTTGGGTAACAATGGAAATTGCATTTGTGAGTTCAGTTGTTTACCTAAAGATTTCAGCATTCACACCATGCGAGTTACATGCTAATTTATAAGCTCTAAAAATATTTAACTTTAGTTTAACGTTTTAAATATGAAAATTTTCCACTGAAATTGTTTTCCAGTGCAATGTAACGTTGCCGATTGTTATGCGTGCACCGCTCCCAACGTGTGTAGACTTTGCAACAGTGGATTCACTTTGAACAGCGCTAGCAACAGATGCGATGGTAGGATATTTTTATTGATTATTCGATTTGACTGATGCGGTAATGATTTTTTTAAAACATTAATTATTAAAAAAAAACTATTCTTAATCGATTGTAACTCACACTACCAAAAAAAAAACATTTTTTAAAACACTCTCATTAATTGTCCCAATATCCGCCCTTTAATACCATGGTTACCTAATGACCCTAAGACCGTTTCGTTGCACTGGGTTTCGCCAAAAGGGTGCCTTTTAATTTTATTTGATAAAACGTTAAGTTATCGGCTATAAAATTTTACATATTAACAAGAATAAAGTAGTATTTTGCAACACTTTTTAAACTTTTTGAATCAGACTGATTAAAAAATTAGCTGAAATAATTAATCGTTTCAGTTTGTGGATGATTAGTTTGATAAAAAATTTATTTGATGTAATAAGATATTCAAATTCTTTATTTGAAATATTTTTTTTTCACAATTTACTAATATTTTCAGCACAGTGCAACGTTCCAAACTGTCAAAGTTGTCAGCCACCCAACAGATGTTCTCAGTGTAACAGTGGCTACAACTTGGATAGCAGTGGAAACTGCGTTGGTGAGAAGCAATTTATCACATGCAATGACAAAAAATATTGTAGTTGCTTAATAGTTAAAGGCGCCTGGTATTGCTGCTGCTGTGACTAGGTTCGAACACAAAGAGATCCCTGCCTATCATATGCAATGTGTATGATGCGTGGTTTGCACGCGTATTCATATACACTGTGTGTGTATGTCGTTGAAATCTCTGAAGCAAGCACAAGAGAGAGAGAGAGAGAGAGAGAGAGTAACATTTAACTTTTGTTATATAAAAAATTTATAAACTTTTGGCTAATAAGTTAAATATATTTTGTAAAATGCAGTATTTTGCTAAAAATATTAAATTGTTTGAAAAGGAGTGATAAAAATTTTAGTTGAGATAACAATTTGTTTCAGTTTGTTGAAGATTAATTTGTTTGATGAAAAAAACCTGTTTGGTATAATAATTTAATACTAGATCAACTTATTTTAAATATTTTTTTGAAATTAACTAATGCCCACAGTTCAGTGCAACGTTCCAAACTGTCAACAGTGTCAGTCACCCAACAGATGCTCCCAGTGTAACGGTGGCTACAACTTGGATAGCAATGGAAACTGCGTTGGTGAGTAACAGTTGATCACATGTAATGACGGAAAAAAAATTAGATTTTTTTATAAACAGTGCTAAATTTTACACGAAGTTTTTTTCACAAGTTTTCATTTGTGGAATCTCTTTTTCTTTGAAACTGTTCCTGTTTATGATTGAAAGATCCATAAATATATCTAAAAATTAGCAATTGCTTATTTCAAACAGTTCTAACTGGTTATTTTTATTTACGAATAAAATTTTGAATAGTAAAATTATAACAAAATCTATATTTATAAAGCGATGAGTTCCATTAAGTTAGAATCATTTGAATCTGTTTAATACCTAAACATTTTTGACCGTTTATTGTCCTTGATTTTTTTTAACTCCTCATTAACTATGAGACAAAAAATTTTATTGATCGAAATTTATATAAAAATTTATTTGAACAAAGTGGCCCCAATCCCATGCAACGTTGCAAACTGTCGAACATGCTTCGTAGCGAATGTCTGCTACCAGTGCAATGATGGTTACACACTCGATACAAACAATAACGTCTGCAGAAGTCAGTATCGGCTGTTTAGTGTAATCAAATAGAAAAAATACAAACGTTTTTTTCTGTTGTTGTAATATTTGTTGTTGTTGATTTTTAGTTATTTATAATTTAGTCAGGCAAATTTATGATTCTTTTTATGATTATATTTTAAAAAAAATTTTAGTTTTCTTGAGTAACTGAAAAAGGAAATGATATTTTAAATCATACATTTTAATTTCAGTTCAGTGTAACGTTGGCAATTGTTTCTTATGTAACACACCGAACGTATGTGCCGTCTGTAACAGTGGATACAACTTGAATGTCCCAAGCAACAGATGCGACGGTTTGACATTTTTATTGTTGATATAAAACAAATGGGAATAAATTGAAAGAATTTTTTGTAAAATTTTTCAAAATAAAAATGGGCGACTTTTTGTAAAACAATTTTTCTTACAATTAACAGTTCAGTGCAACTTTGCAAATTGTCAAAACTGTCAGTCACCAAACAGATGTTCTCAGTGTAACAGTGATTACAACTTGGATAACAGTGGAAACTGCGTTGGTGAGTGAAATTAAAATGTCATGATACCACCTCAAAAGGTGTTGATGACGGGAGGATGAATGTTATTACAGACATGAACTTGATTAACTTTTTAACATTAGTAGCAATAGTGTTCATTATTTTATACGATAATCTTTCTGCAATTAAAAATTTCCAGCGCAATGCAACGTTCAGTTCTGCCAGCAGTGCCAAACACCGAACAGATGTTCAGCTTGTAACAGTGGCTACAATTTGGATGGGAGTGGAAACTGCGTTCGTAAGTGTATTTGAAAACAATTTTCTAAAATTTAATTTCAACGTTGCTGTTCATAACAGTAGCTTTTATTCTCAAGCCATGGAAAGAAAGTTTTATGAACTGACGTATGTTTATTTTTTTTAATGAAATCTACAAGTTTTTTTATTAATAAATTTTTTATGTGTTTGATGCTGACAAGTTTCTCAGGAGTGCCTATAAATTATATTATAATCAAACGCCAGAGTCTCATGCTCGAATTAATGATTGTTGTACTTCATTTAACGTATTGTCGTTCAATTGCCACTCTTTAATTTGGACTTAAAAACTGATTTGGATTTAGCTGATATTTTTAAAACTCAAGCTTGTTTGCCAATATTTTTAAAAATGTTAGATTGTTGCAAAACTGTTCGTTACATTATAATGTTTAGTCAATATTTGGGTTACAATTTGAGACAATTTATTTTGGTAATTGACAAGGAAGCAAACCCATTTTTACCCCACCCGGGCTAAATTATTGAATTCGTCAGCAGCTTCTTTTTAAGGCGATGCACGTTTCTGCGAGTATTTATATTACGTTAAATTTTTAAAATATTCCAGCTCAGTGCAACGTACCAAACTGCCAGCAATGTTCAACACCGAACAGATGCTCCAGTTGCGTGAATGGTTTTGAGCTGAGTGGTGGTGGAACTTGCCGCGGTGAGATTTTATTCTAATTCCAGGATTCATAAATTCCTATTGAATGATGAACTTTTTGTAATTTTAACAAAAAGTGTTTCTTGTACATGAACCTCGACCATATTTATTCTCGAATTTTTTTACTATTATTTACATACATTATCAATAAAGATTTTTCCACAAAATGAGAAGATCAAATTTTTATAGATGTGCTTGTGAAAAAATATTTTTAATTTTTGAATATGAATAACGTTTTCAGTAGATTTAATTTTTCAAGTTTGTTTTTCTTTTTATAATATTTTTTTTTTAAAAAACAAGGTTATGTTTTATATTCAGAATTTTTTAGTTTTAAATATAATTTTTAGAAATTTTAATATTTAAGTTATAGCTTAAACTTAATTTTAATTTTTAAATGGCAAAACGTTATCCTAAATATCAAATGGAATAATTTAATTAAACTGATTTAAATGAAGCCGCCCAAATCCCGTGCAACGTTGCAAACTGTCGAACATGTCTCGTTGCAAATGTTTGCTACCAGTGCACTGATGGTTACACACTGGACACCAACAATAACGCTTGCAGAAGTATGTTCATTTTTGAGTGAAATGAATAAATTAATTTTTTTTATAAAATCTATCAAACCGTTGTTTTAATATTTGTTAACAACTTCCACTTACCTAGGGTCCTACCTCTTATTCTGTTTTTTTTTAAATTTAAACATCTCCAATCTATATAAAAATGTTTCGAACTCACTTAACGGTCGCCTGACTTTCTTCACTTTTATACCTATTAATCTGAAGTCTTTTTTTAATACTTTACCTCGACATCTCAAATGCACGATCATTCTTTCCTTTCGCTATCCTTTAAATTCGAACTCATAGGTATTATAACTTTGATATTCCTTTAGCTACTCATCAACTTCGTTTATCATTCAACTGCATCAACTTGTTAGTACTTCATTAATTGGTAACAAAGGTTGTACATAAAGCTATCTATCAATATGGAATGCTCGCCTGACGGCATTTATCAGCCGTCCATTAAAATTTTTCCAAAGAGTTTAACACTGTTTCATTGTTTATATTTTTTAAACGGTGCTAGTTTTTGACGATCCAAGCACTCCTAATACATCGTGAGGAGCTAAAAAACTGAGGAGCTAACTATGAATATGTAATTGAAAACAAAATAGAATAACGATTATAAATTAGACACGCATTTCATTTTTGAATAATTTCAATGAATATGCACGAGCCCCACTATTACAAACTTTTTTCAGTTCAATGTAGCGTTGCCAATTGCTTCGCGTGTAACACACCGAACGTGTGCTCAGTTTGCAACAGTGGATTCAGTTTGAACGTCCCCAACAACAGATGCGATGGTTGGACAGTTTTGTTGTTGATAAGAATTGACAGATAATGTTATTGCTTATTTTTCTTATTAAACATAAACCAAGATTCATTTAGTAAAACTGTCAAAAACATTTCTAAAAAATTAACAGTCCTCTGCAACGTTCCAAACTGTCAATACTGTCAGACGCCGAACAGATGTTCTCAGTGCAACAGTGGTTACAACACAGATAACAGTGGAAACTGCATTCGTGAGTTTATTTTGAATCATTATTTGATATATTTTCGTTTGCGTTGTTATCCAATCATCTATTACCTACAATTGAACAGTTTGAATCATGTAATAAGATTACTTTTTTAATTAATAACTGTTTTTCGTTAAACCAAAAAATTAAAACTAAAAATTTTTTTTATCTCTCTTCAGTTCAGTGCAACGTTGCAAATTGCCTTTCTTGCAACACACCCAACGTGTGCGCGGTCTGCAGCAATGGATACACTTTGAACTCTGCCAACAACAGATGCGACGGTTAGAAATTGTTGATTTTCTAATAAATCGAATCAAAATTTTTATTATATTGTTCCAAATTTCACTCAATGAATGACCATGATTTTTAAATTTAACAAACAATTATATTAATTCTACAGTACAGTGCAACGTCCAAAATTGTCAATACTGCCAGTCTCCCAGCAGATGCTTCCAATGCAACGCTGGTTACAGCCTGGATAACAATGGAGATTGCGTTTGTAAGTAGAATATTAGTTTTAATGACGACGTTTGGATTATTGTGATCACGGAAATAAATTTTATTTAATTTCAGTGGATTAACATTTATAACATTATCTACATCATTGTAAACCTCCAGCTCAGTGCAACGTTCAATACTGCCAGCAGTGCCAGACACCGAACAGATGTTCCTCGTGTATAAGCGGCTACAATTTGGATGGTAATGGATACTGCGTTCGTAAGTACATTTTACAAATAAATAACTTCAAGTATTTGATTACAACATTGCATCATAACAATTGAAAGAAAATAATTTTCCTGTTTAATTTTTTTTGGGACTTTCAGCTCAGTGCGGCATTTTAAACTGCATACAATGTCTGACGCCTAACAGATGTTCGGCCTGCAACAGTGGCTACTATGTTGATAGCAATGCTAACTGCAGCCGTTAGTCGCCTACCATTCTATTAACATTTTTCATGATTGAAGTTCAGATTTTAATATTATTTTTGTCAGCTTGTTAAAAAATTTTCTCACAAACCGACACACTCAGACATACACACGCACACACATACACACACGTACATACATATACACACACGTGCACACACAGCTCTGTGCAATCTCAACTACTGTTTAACCTGTCTCACAACCACTGTTTGTTCGCGATGCTACGATTCATACTTCTGGAACACCGCCGTCCAGCCGCCTGCTTGCACGTGTTAGTACCTACATGCTGATTTTTCCATGAGTTCATCGTGTATGATGCCATGATAACTTTAACTATTACGCCATGATAGCGTAATAGTTAAAGGCACTTAGTCTTGCTGTTGTAGTGACAGGAATCGAATGCAGAGACATCCCGCGTGTCGTATGCAGTGTGTGATGCGTGGTTCCGAGAGTACTCATATACACTACTTGAATATTTGTCAGTAAAACCTTTGAAGCAACTGTACAAGAGAGATTGATTTTTAATGCTTTTTAACATTCATTGTCATTAATAATACCATAATTATCATCTTGTATATTTTAACAAACACAGGCGTTGCTTATCATGGTCCAAGCCGCCAACGAAATTATCTTAAACATTATTAACACGATAACTCATCATCATTATCACAATTCTATCAGTATTCTCTTTCGTCACTATCATCATCACCATCATTGTCATCATCATCATCACCTGAATCTTTGTTATATTTATAGTATAATCATCATGAATTTTCACACTAACTGTCATCACAACTATCATCACCATATCATCATCATTATCACGACCTCAGATTGCCCACTATCGAATTGCGACCGCTGCCTCTCCGCGACAGTTTGCGACAGCTGCAGGAGTGGCTACGAGTGGAGCACCCTTGTACAGCCACCATCTTGCATTCGTGCGTTTGTCACATCATTGTCGTCATGGTCATTTCATCACGCCACCATCATTCCACATTGTCATCCCCATCCACTTCCGCATCTTTGTTGATGTCATTTTCAACTGCGTTATCACCTGTGTCACCTCATAATCATTTACAGTATCAAAATCTTCGTTCTCATCATCGTCACATTCATCTCTATCACCAACCATGTCACTTTATTGTTGTCGTCACCATCATCATCGTCATCATCATCGTCATCATCATCGTCATCATCATCGTCATCATCATCGTCATTATCATCATCAACTTCTTTATTGTTTTGTTATCACTCCATCAGCTCGCTGTGGTATTGCGAACTGTCAGATCTGCCAGACGTCAAACACCTGCCAAACGTGCATGCGGGGCTACTTTCTGGACAGCAGTCAAATACCCTCGAGATGCCTCTGTGGGGCTTTGTTTTATTTTAATTGTTTTGTTTGTTTGTTTTGTGTGTATGTATGTTTAATTGTTCGTGTTCGTTCGTTTGTTTGTTCGTATGTTTTTGTTGTTTAATTTTGCTGTTGGCGTGGTTTGTTTGTGGCTTACAATTTTTTTTGTGTTTTTTTTCATCAGAAGTTTATTTTAAATACGTCTCTACAATGAATTTTACTTCGACAGAATAATTCTCGTCATATCATCACCATCATCCCCTTCTTTCATCATAATTATCATCTTCATCACATTCATCATTTTTATCATCACCAACTCATCAACTTTTTCATCGTCATTGTTATTATCATCTTCATCATCATCACTAACCCGTGCACCCCACCACCAGCCTGCAACCTACCGAACTGCCTCGATTGTACCTCATTGAACCAGTGCAGAACCTGCAATCCTGGATACTTCTGGTACCCACCCTACCAAGCGTGCACGAGTTAGTAATGAAGATGACGATGATGATGATGATGACGATGATGATGACGATGAAGATGATGAAGACAATGAAGATGATGATGAAAATGACGATGACGATGAAGATAACGATGAAGATGACGATGATGATGACGATGAAGATGATGAAGACAATGGCATTGCAATACCTAAAAAGCGCGTTTATTGAGTTTTCTTCAGAGGCTCTAATTGTGCTTCGTCTTGTCTAAAAATTTTACACGGTTTCAGAAAACTGTATCGCTTATATCTGTACTAATTTTACGTAAACTGGCATTGAGTTTCAAATTTTGGTTGAAGCAGCTGAAAATATTCTCGACTTGGAATGAGATGTTTGAACAAAAGACACTCAAGATCTCAATAATTAGCTGGTACCAGACGTTTTTCCGTGATAACGATAAGTGATTTATTCAGCTGATGCACATTCACGGATGCCAGAATCTAAATAAGATAAATTCTCATTCAAAAAACTTGGTGCAATTATAGCAGAAGAGTTTTCAACATCAACGCCAGTTTAAATTTCATTTCTCTTCTTTCAAACACGTTCACTCTTCGTTCGGTTGGGACTGCTGTCAAATTTTGAGACTCGAGCTATTAATCACGATAAATAAAACAATATAATTTCGTTAATTTTTATGATATTTAAAAATTATTAATAAATTAATTTATTCATTCATGCATTCATTCATTCATTCATTCATTCATTCATTCATTCATTCATTCATTCATTCATTCATTCATTTATTCATTCATCTTACAACTATCATCAACATACGGCTGTTAATAGTAATTGTAGCATATTTCCAATAAATTTCCAGATTGTCCTATCAGCAATTGCCTGCAGTGTGATTCCTTGACCAATTGTGTGAAATGTCAGCCTAGTTATTATTGGAATGGCAATCAGTGCATCTGTTAGTGTGGTTGTCTGATTTATTGACTGACTGACTGACTGACTGACGGACCGACCGACCGACCGACCGACTGGCTGGCTGTCTGGCTGACTGACTGACTAACTGATTATTTATTTAATTTTGTATTCAGTTTGTTTATATGTTTCATCTATGTATTAATTAATTTGTTAATAGTTATTCCATCAATAAAATCAATATTTTTCCATCTAATTGTTTTGTAGAATTACAATCGTTTAATAGTTAATAAATTAATTAATTTGTTTATTCATTCTCGAACTAACAACTTGCTCGTCTATGTATTATATCACAGATTCATTTATTTTTACTATTTATTATTTGACAATTATTCATTCGATTACTCACTTTGTTTTTCAACGCATTCCACAATCTCTTACTTCTTTAACCAAAAAAAAAAAAAATAAAAAAAAATTTCATCTTTCAGATTGTCCAATCGCGAATTGCGATCTCTGCCAGTCACCTAATACATGTGCAACGTGTAGCAATGGATATTTCTGGGATATGTCAGTCAATCCACCGATATGTTCAGGTTGGTGGGGATGGTTGATTGGTTGGTTCGTTGGTTGTTTGGTTGGTTGGTTGATTTGTTGGTTGATTGGTTGGTTGATTAGTTGGATGGTTGGTTGGTTGGCTGGTTGGCTGGCTGGTTGGTTGGTTGGTTGGTTGGCTGGCTGGCTGGCTCGCTGGTTGTATGGTTGGTTGGTTGGTTGGATGGATGGGTGGTTGGCACGGCACTGTTCATCAATTGAATTCTCATTATTTATTTCTAGTTTTTAATTTATTTGAATGGCTTGATTGTTTATTAATTTTTTTTTAATTTAAATCAACATTCATTACAACAAAATGCAATACAATTCACTCGCTCGTTCAATGTTCATTTATTCATTTCTTAATATTCATTCGTTTATCCATCCATATAAATATTCTGTCAGTCGTTGTCCAATTATTTCCCATTCATTTATTTGAAGTTTTGTGTTTATGCGTTTGACAATTACATAATTATACTTTAATTAATAGTTACTGGAGTTGCTGGGACGAGTATGAAATTTAAAATATTTTCTTTTTTGCAGTTTTGTGTCCGAACCAAGCTGATATAATGTTCATCATCGATAATTCAGGTCTTGTTTTGTTTTGTTTCTGCCATAAGTGGTCATTGTCCTCATCATCAACTTCATCGTCGTTTCGTTTTTATCATCGCTATCATCATCTTCATCATCATCATGTTTTAGTATTTGTTTTATCGCAAACATCATCATCATCGTCACCAAAAACTCATCATCAACATCTCAGTAGCCATCATCATCATCACCTTCTTCTCAGCATCATCATCATCACCATCTTCATAATCATCATCATCAACACTACTTTTTTAAACTTCATCATCAAAATTATAACCATCACCATCATCATCACCTTTGTAATCATCATCATTATCATTTTTATAACCATCATCATTATCACCACCTTTATAACCATCATCATCACCACCACCCTCATAATCGTCATCATCATTAATATCAGGAATGGTGGAAAGGCAGAAATACGCGGACATCTTGAACTTTCTGTCCAACATGGTCCTCAGTTTGCCCCTATCCAATAATCAGGTAAGTTTTCATTGTTACATCTCATGGTCGAAAAAATTAAAAATGACGAGATAGAGTAGCGGTAAGTCGTCCTGTCCGGCCTTGAAGTTATCGGCTTCGACTGCAAAGATATTCTCGCTTATCCTACGCTGAAGTGAAAATTTCTTTTCGTTTCGTATGATGCGTTTTTACGTAACTACGTGTTTTTTTAAATGCCAACAGATACGAGTGTCGGTGATGACGTACAGCGATTTCCCCGTATTCAACATACCCTTTACTGCCAGCCCGAACCTGACAGTCGTAGCGAATCAGATAAGGAACCTCCCATACGTGGGTCAGTACGCTGACCTTGGGGCAGCTCTGAAGTGAGTTGCATGTTTAGGTGTAGGTTGTATTTCACTTTAACATTTCTTTTTTAGTTATGAATTATGATTTGATCATTAGTATTATTCAATAATTTTGTTTTTTTTCGTAATTATTGCTATGGTATTAAATTAAGCATAAAGTTCCAAGTTTGAAAATTGTTCCATGAGTTATATTGTTTTTATATTTCTCGAGCATCTTCTCAAATGCTAAGGGGATTTATGAATTCAATTTTTTAATAGGGCTCCTAAAAAGCTTCTAACAATCGACACAACACTCCAGATTAAAAAGTGTTTTTTATTTGTGATCAGTTATAACAAGCACTAAAATACAACAAAAATATCAAAAACAATACACAACGATGTAAAATGAAACAATTTGAAATGATTGACATGCTAACCACCGATCACGATCACAGACAGCTGTACAACGTCACAATCCTCAACTCCCTGAGGCCCTCCCCCGTCCTGGCAGTGGCTGTTGTGGTGACCAACGGTGTCTCGAACGATAGGAACTCGTCGTTGAGTGAGGCAATGCTGGTGAAGAGTCAGTCGCGATTCATCGTCTCTACGTTGACCGTTGCTTCATTCAAGGACGATTATGTTCTAAGTCAGGTGTGTCGGTCGGTTCATCGTGTGTTTCGTCGTGATGGGCTCTGTCTAATGTTGCTAGTTGTATACATTAGTGGGACATCAGATGATTGAATGATCACATAAAATGCGTTATGGTTTATTTTAAATGACTAATTTGTATTTTCTTCTGTCTACTAAATCAAGCATTCATTCATTAATTCACTTATCTATTCATTCAATCATTTATTCATCTTCATTCCATTCATTCACTTGGTGAATGAATGGAATGAAGATGGAATTCACTAGGCACTCACTCACTCACTCACTCACTCACTCACTCACTCAATCAATCAATCAATGACTCAATCACTCACTCACTCACTCACTCACTCACTCACTCACTCACTCACTCACTCACTCACTCATTCACTCACTCACTCACTCACTCAATCAATCAATCACTCAATCATTCATTCATTCATTCATTCATTTATTAACTCATTCACTCACCCACCCACTCAATCAATCAATCATTCATTCATTCATTCATTAACTCATTCACTCATTAATTCTATCTCACATCCATCTATCCAGATTGCTTCATATCCTTACTGGCTGAACACCTTCCAAGTTTCAGTGGCCAGCAACCTAACAGCAGTCCAGAAGCCACTAACTGAGTTCACCTGCAACAGTTGGTGATGACGATGATGATGACGATGGTGATGATGATGGTGATGATGATGGTGACGATTGTAAGGATGATGGAGTTGAGATGATGTCAAAAATAATGGCGGTGATGATAATGAAGATGATGATTACGAATGATTGAGATTTTCATCTTTTTAAGAGTTTTTTTCGGTAACCGAGGCAATTTTTCTCCTTATTAAGTTTATTCATTTCGATTAGTGATTTTTGAACTACAGCCTTTTGAATTATTAATGACAACCACAGACGCACCACACACACAAACACCTGTGCGTACGTAAATATGTTCAAATAGACTCGTCTTATAGTTTTTAAGTGCGATATTTTGGGAGTTCTTCGAGAAACGCTGTAACAATTAATTAGCAACTGCATCACCGTCCTACTATTTTTCAACATTTTTACGTCTGATGGATCTTTTGGTATTCGAACCGGGTCATAAGAGGATAGAAGTAATTATAGCTCTCTCACGCCCCACGGTTTAACTCATTCAACATTTAAATAATCGTGCTTCAATTTTAGTTTCTGAATTTAATTAAATTATTTTTTAACGCATCAACCGATTCTTTTTTTCTCTCATTCACATGAACATCACATGAAATGAAACTTTCAATCCGTTTTTGAACTTGCAGGTAAAAACGAGTGCCAGTTGGGCAATCCGTGTAGGAACGGAAGATGCGAGGACAGAATCAACAGTTACGAGTGCATCTGCAATCCTGGCTGGGGGGGCAAAAACTGTGATACTGGTTAGTTCGTGGATGAGTAAATGAGTGATTGAGTCAATCAATCAATCAGTCAGACAATCAATCAATTAGTCAATCAATAAATCAACCAATCAATTAGTCAGTCAGTTAATCAATTAATCAATCAATTCGTAAATGATTGGACGAATGCGTGATTTATTATTTGACTGCTTGCTTTAATGATCGGATGAATGGGAAATGTTAATAAACGAAAAGGAAGATTTATTATCGGATAAATGCAAATACTGTAACATGTGTTACCAAATGCAAAGATAGTAATTGTAAATAGTAATTAGTAATTGTCTGGAATTGAATATTGAAAAAATCTATAGAAAATATTGACAAATTGGTTGAAAAATGAACCACTATCAAAATATACACAGAATTTTATTAGAACGTTTTTTTCTAGAGCACCAGTTAACAAAACCAGACAATGTGATATAATACCTGCGTTAAATACCTTAGTGAGATGTGCGTCATCTGGTGACATAGTTTTTGTGCTGGACAGTTCGGGCAGCGTTGAGAACGATTACTTCCTATTGGTCATTCAATTCGTCCAGAATGTCATCAGCCAATTAGATATCGCCACTTCGCAGAATGATAACACTGGAATTCAGGTGATGACGACGATTGTGACGAGTATGGGGATGATGATGGTGGTGATAAAAATGAAGAGTTGATTCTTATCATTATGCATTAATGACGATGAAGTTACTGATTATGATGATGATGACGACGACGATAATGATGACGATGATGATGATAAGGATTTTAAAAATTATGTTTTTGTTGACTATGATGATGATTGTAGATGTTTGAAGTTGAATGAATGAAATTTTTTTGTGTGCAGTAGTCATTCAGAGTGAATGGCGCAACGGTGTAATGGTTAAGATATCTGGCACTGTCACTGTTGTCGCAGTGACTGGGTTTGAATGCAAAGAAATCCTCGCTCAAAACGTTTAATATGTGTGATGCTTTGAATCAAGTGTCGAGGAGAAATACCAAAGAGAGGATTGCCAAAAAATTAAATAACAACAATTTTTTTCTACTTTTTTTTTTCATTTGTTCAATTTGTTTTTGTCTCTAGGTTGGATTAATCGTATACTCGACATCTCCCAGGGTGATATTTTATTTGAACACCTACCACAGCAAGAACAGGTTGGTAGAAGCCGTCAACGTGCCATTCATGTCAGGGGCAACCAACACAGCAGATGCCATTAGGTATAAAATGAGATATTAATTATTTATACAATCATACAATGTTTTATGAAATAATGACAGTAATGTTATTATTAATTGAAATAAAAATTATCTACATAGAAATTATGTCATTATTAGTAAAAATAACGTTCAAAGTAGAATAATTTAATGACAATTTGATTGTCTTGTCAATTGACTATTGAATAATTATTGACAAATTGCCTTACTGACTGGCTGGTTGGCTGACTGGCTGGTTGACTGCCTGTTTGGCTGACTGGCTGGTTGGCTGATTGGTTGGCTGACTGTTTGGCTGGTTGGCTGACTGGCTGGCTGACTGGTTGGCTGGCTGGCTGAGTAATTGTTTGCATGGCTGGTTGTTTGATTAACAGCTTGGCAAGAACACAACTATTTAGTCAATTCTACGGCAATCGTCCGAACTCCATCGACATTCTCGTCTTGGTGACTGATGGTGTGTTTTATTTTCCTAATCGAAATCATCATCTACATCTTCCTCACAATCATCATCATAACCATCATCACGAATCGTTATCATCGTCGTCTTCATCATCATCACATAGTAGCATACCAGATATAATTGATGGAAGGCTTAATATAACCTTATTATATAATCCTTATGACGTCATCATCATCATCATCAGGAATGTCCAGCAATTTCACAGCAACCTGGCAGGAGGCTGTGAGAACGAGAGTAGCCAACGTGAAGATCGTAACTGTAATTATTATTATTCTTATTATTCTTCTTCTTATTATTATTATTAGTAGAATTCTCTTTATTATTATTGTTATTATTATTATTATATTTTCTAATTTTTATTATTAATGTTTATTTTATTATTATTTTATCAACTGCATCATCGTCATCATAGGTTGGAGTCGGTCAGGACATAGACATGAACGAGTTAGTAGCAGTGGCGACATCCGCGGCACCATCCACGCCACAGTCAAACGTCTTTGTGGCCAGCAACTACACCACACTCTCAGACCAGCTGACTAATAAGATCAGCTCGGCTATTTGCGCTGGTTGGTTGGGTGGTGGTTGGCTGTGATGCTGATGGTGTCGAGGGTGATAAGATGCAGATGATGCTATCATTGTTGACGATGTTGATGATGGTGATGATGAAGAGGAAGACGATGACGATGATGGTAATTAATGATGGTAGTTGGGTTTTTCATCAGCAGCACATAAGGCAGGTAGATCCACGCATCAGGCACATTTCAAGTGATGGACGGGCGCGGGTTACTTTGCGTTTGAACACTGCCACTGCAAAAGCGCTGTCTGGCTACTTAACCATTATACTATCTCTTCGCTAAAAATGACGGCATTTAATATGTCAATATCATCATAACAATTTCTACAAGTGCTATTTTAATCATAATCACTTCCCAATATGATATAACACACATAAATGCACCGTTACACACACACACCATGACCCAAACTACCAAACACACACGCACGCACACACGCACACACACACATATATAGAATTTCACGTAAATGAGCTCTCCGTAATGTTATATCCTACAGATTTCAAGTACTGCAACTCTACGTCGTGCATGAAAGGACAGTGCATTGAAGAGTTCGGTGGTTTCTCGTGCAAATGTCCCAGCACGAGTACAGGCACCTATTGCGAACGAGGTCAGAAAACTGTTTATCTAATCAATCAATCTATCAACCAGTCAATCAATCAATCGACCAACCAGTCAATCAATCAATCGACCAACCAGTCAATCAATCAATCGACCAATCAACCAACTTGTCTATCAATCAATTAACAAACTGTTCAGTTATCTTTCAAGCAATCAATCGTCCAACCAACCAAACAGTCGCCAACTAATCAACCAATCAATCCTTCATTCAATCAGCTAATCAACTAATCAGTCACCAATCATGGTATCACTCAATCAATCAATCAATCAGTCATTTAATCAATCAACCAATCAATCAGCTAATCAACTAATCAGTCACTAATCATGATATCACTCAATCAACCAATCAATCAGTCATTTAATCAATCAACCAATCAATCAGCTAATCAACTAATCATTCACCAATCATAGTATCAATCAGTCATTTAATCAATCAGCCAATCAACTAATCAGTCACGAATCATGGTATCAATCAATCGACCAATCGACCAATCAGATTGCAATGGTCAGCTCGACCTCATGATCGTCGTCGATTTGAGTGGCAGCATTCGAAGCGAGCGTTACGTGTACATACAACAATTTGTCATCGCTTTGATCAGGAGTTTGGAAATGGGCCAAGATAAAACTCGAATCGGTATAATCGTGTATAGCGACGATGCCGAATTGAGTATTCGTATGAATGATTACTGGATAATGCAGGTTTGTTTGTTTGTTTGTTTGTTTGTTTGTTTGTCTGTTTGTTTGTTTTTGACGTACGGTTGTACACCCTCATTTGTTTTCTATGTTGATTTTTTTTTAATAAATATTGCATTTGTGTTGATGATGAATATTATTTTTGTTGTGTTGCAGTTTTGATGTAATTTTTAATACCACCCCAGCAACTCACAAAATGTTCACCGTCCAACCTGTCAATTGCTGGATCTAACTCGTCTACATGACAAGAAGTTTTAAACTGCTAGATGTTACTATCGACCAGTTTTAACTTTCAAAGCTCACACTTCTGCTCTCATAAAAATATGTAATTACATAATTGTCT